AAAATAAGCAAAAAAAGATGAAAAATCAAATTTTGGATATACCCTGAGGTCTAAACCGGGTAAGAATGGGGTCTGGAATGAAGCCAGAGGAGAATCCGGGTAAAAATCCACCTTTTGGACCCCCAAAAAATGTGGGTAAAACTTGAGTTTTTGGGATCAGGCCTCTTAGTGGGTTGTCAGGGGTCCTAGGCAGTTGTGTATTTTTTGCTTTGTTTTCTGTATGTATTTATAAGAGGAACAGAGGAAATTGGGTAATTAAGAGAACAGAGTTTCGGGTTGGACAATTGGTTCGCTATCGCTGTCGGCTAGGCCATCTTCATCCTCCCCCGAGTTCAGGGAGTTCACCCATGATAGGGAATCTCCTTGTATGATTGATGAAATGGAATAAAGGCAGGAACACTTCCTTTGCTGAGACTCAGAGAAGGGGTCCAATGGTCCAGAGCTGGTTATGCAGCTTTCTCTGCAACCGGCCCCGCACTCTGCGATGTGAATGAAAAGTGCGCGAAATTTTCAGCATGTTGGTGATTTTGCTTCCATTGCAGTGGAAATTAACGTACCCCGTTGGGGACACACACCTTGCTTGCGTCTGTTCACTGCTACGGTGAGGGAATTTGGTGTGAAACAGCAAGCAGAAAAGCTTAGGGATGATGCATTATGGTGAGCCAGGTGAGGAAATTTGTTGTGAGCTGGTAAAGTGCAGGGGTGGAGTCGGAGTCTGTTAGATGAAGGGAAAGTAAAAGGGCTGCATCCGGATCCCTTTTGCCCTATAAGGCGTAGATGTAACCCTGTTCCGCCGTCGGATCGGACAACGACAACTTTAAAAGGAAATTTTGCACGGGCGCTCGAGGTTATGGATGTTCAATGACCATTGCAAGCAAGGTGATATTTCTGGAGAGGAAGTTGAGTCAACAGGCAACAGTTTTCTCGAGGAAGCCATCACGTCAGTTTCCAAACAATTCCAGCTCGCGGTGGTATCGGAGTCATCAGTGCGTCGATGGCGATTCCTGCAGAGTCTGTCATGGTACTGCTCAAGTTTACGGCAAAATGTAATGTCTGACTATATATATTACTGAGCTCAAGCAGGCTTAAATAAGCGGAACGTGACCAGGACGCGTTGAATTCATTCAACACTCAGCGGCTCCAGTACGAGCTTAACTTCAACGCTGCTTTAACCCTTGAAAAAAGGCTCAAAAGAAACTGCTTACGTCCGCCATCCTCCCTCTTTGTACCCATACGCCAGCCGCCTCAGTCCGAATGAACTGCGCATTCAAAAGAGATCTGGCTTGGTCATTTTCTCAGACCTTGAGACCTCGGTTGACGAGTCACCGGAGGTGCATTCAAACAGATTTTAGAACAACGAAGCCGTCGAGGAATCTACTACTTGCACATTTATCTTCAAAAGCAGAGAAACGAGGTCTTCGGTTGTCAAGTCCACAGTCGCGGTCATTTCATTCCACAACTAGTGCGTAACACTACATCGTTGAACGACAACAAAAACTAACTCCAGTTATTTCAGCTTCCGCACACGGTGATATAACACGACCTGAACCCGGAACAGGGTGCGCCTTGACGTAGTGGAAGTTCATACTCGTATTCTGAACACGTCCTTCGTCATAGGATCAAAGTGAACTTCAAGGATTCTAAAGGTAATCTGATCAAGACGATTGAAGCAAACGAAGGGGATGATATTCTAGGAATTGCTCATGAATATGACATTGACCTCGAAGGTTCGTCAATGCCTATGGAATTACCAAATTTTTCTTTCTACTTATTTTCCCTTGAAGGTGCATGCGAAGGCTCGGTTGCATGTTCAACATGTCATGTTATTCTAAGTCCAGAATATTATGATCTTCTACCGGAACCCGAGGACGACGAAAACGATATGCTCGATATGGCGTTTGGCTTGACAGATACAAGTAGACTGGGATGTCAAGTCAAGTTAACGAAGGAGCTGGATGGAATCACAGCAACCCTTCCTAGTGCTACGAGAAATATGTTTGTAGATGGTCAGGAGCCTGTCGTATACGCATCTCTCAAAATACTAATTTTCGGAATCCAGGGAAGAAACCTACGCATCATTAAATATCAGAACTAACACAAGCTATAACACGTTTCTAAATAGTACAGTTCTTTCAAAGACAGAAATATACCTTTCAAGGTCGACCCAACCGTCTAATGCTTCATACGCTATGTATAGTATCGAAACTCTTCACATCTGTGGTACTATGAAGCCGCAGAAATTGCCTTGCCAGAATATTTGTGAGCTGTTTCAAGCGGAATCAAGTATCGATATTCACACTGACAGCTATGTTGGATTTTTTTTGTCGTGTTGATGACTGTCGCCTTTTCTCTGGCCACTGCTCTCGGCCCAGTACTCGCCCTCAAGTGTAACACGGGTGTAGCCTCGTGACGGTAGCAGGTGCGTTGCTCTACTATCTCTTCAAGACTCGATATACTATTGCTCACTGTCAGCACTGCCATCCCATTCGCAATCTGTGCTTACATACATCACATCACTCTCTGTGGGACTCTGTCTTTGGACGGAGCCGTGTATCAATCTATCTCTAATTCGAGACGGACGAGGGGCTAAATACCTGGTGCTAGAGAGACTAAGGATAGCCTCAATTCAAAAAACAACTCCATTCTTGAATTTCAACTCTGACCGATGAGCGCTCAGCGCGTCCTTGTAGATGGAGTCACTTCTATTCACTTTGAAATCACTTGCAGCGTGTGCAGCTGTTCGCAGCAGGTTCGCACCCTGGGCTTTCAACTGATCTGGTCAGTGGTGAGGATCAGGTGAGGATCATCAGAGGATGAAAGGAAAATTGAAGAACTATGATATTGCCCCCACTGATGGCCCTGTATCATTAATTTGCAAATATAGCAATCTGTACGCGAGACTTCGCAATTAAATATCGCGAAAGAACAGTCTCACCAGCTTCCACAGGTGGACTACTCATAGGAACCCCCAGGCTCTCAGAGCCTCTACAGCTGTATAATTGAAAGTCGGATCCGCCCAACATGCCCAAAACGTTTCGAACCTTCCGGTTATACCGACACAGCCCGATCTTCAACCAGAATATGAGCCCAAATGAGCCCTGTTTCGAATTTTTGCCATCAATCGTTTACAACCCTTGTTACCGCGATACGCTTTTTTTTCGTATATAAGGGGGTGGTGAGAACTTTTGCCCGGTATATTGCTTTCTCTCTTGGCTTGGGCTCTTTTGCTTCATTTTTCAACTTCACGCCCAGGCTTCGTTCGCTCGTTTTGGACTTTTCCGCCGAATCTTTTCTAGCTCCTCGTACTACTTATTATCAGTTCTTACAACCATGTCTCGCAAAGCTCCCTCCAAGCCTCTTCCCAAGTTTGACGTCGGTTTGTTGCATTTTGCAAACCGTTAGGAGCTCTAGATCTGACGCTATTTTATTCAGGTGAAGATTACACACTCCTTTATGCCCTGGGTGAAGGAGCCTATGGCTCCGTCGTTGCTGCTGTTCACAAACCAACTGGACGACGCGTTGCTATTAAAAAAGTGTTGCCATTCGATCATATACTATTTGCTTTACGAACTCTCAGGGAGTTGAAGCTGCTGAAATATTTCTCGGAGGAATGTTCAAACGAAAACGTTAGTGTCTATCTTGTCCGTTTTACGATATTGATCGCTCATCGTTGGGATCATAGATTATCTCTGTTCTTGATATCATCAAACCTACCTCTTTTGAATCCTTCAATGAGATTTACTGTGTGTCCTAACAATTCCTTCATTCCTGCTTGCACTGATATCCAAATCAGTTGTACAGGAATTCATGCAAACTGATCTCCACCGTGTTATCCGAACTCAACCTCTCACCGACGATCATTGTCAATACTTCATATATCAAACCCTCCGCGCGCTGAAGACTATCCACAGTGCAGACATCGTTCATCGGGATCTCAAACCAGCGAATTTGCTCTTGAACGCCAACTGTGACCTTAAAGTTTGTGATTACGGTCTTGCCCGTAGTTTGAAGGCTGGGTTTGAAAAGGTGAAGGTTGGTGAGGGTGTAATGACGGAATATGTTGCGACGAGATGGTATCGGGCACCCGAAATCATGTTGAGCTTCAAGATGTATACGAAGGCGATTGACATGTGGGCTATTGGGTGCATCCTCGCAGAGCTGATTTCAGGAAGACCCTTATTCCCTGGTCGTGACTATTCACACCAACTCGATTTGATTCTTGATGTTATCGGTATGTCTTCCGAACAAGCGGCTACGGCAGCGCGATGTTGATATGTGTCTTCTTATGTAGGAACGCCTACCGTGGACGAGTTTTACGCCATTACGTCTCGCAGATCGAAGGAGTACATCCGTTCCCTGCCAATCAAGAAGCCCAAGAGCTTTTCATCTCTCTTCCCTCACGCTTCCGCAGACGCAATCGACTTCTTGAATAAGACACTCGTGAGTCCTTTGGCTGGATTTTTATTAAACGAATATCTAATTTGTGTTCTTAGACATTTGATCCCCAAAGGCGGATGGCGGTTGAAGAGGCACTCAAACATCCCTATGTCGCTGCTTACCATGACGCTGAGGATGAGCCAGCTGCTCCATCACTCGATCCGGAGTATTTCCAATTTGAAGGTGAGTACATTTCATTTATTCCGCTAGCTGGCCATTGATAAATGGCTCGTTCTAGCACACAAAGAGCAGCTATCAAAGGAACAGCTTAAAGAGCTCTTGTTTGACGAAGTGATGTCGTTCAAACCGGTCATCGATAACACTCTCAAGACAGCCGCATCCTAGTCTTCGCCTGAGTGTAGTCTATGCTTTCCAACTAAGTACATCATATACATCACAGCTAAACGCACATTATTATCACATTCATTTTGCATTTAACTTATTATTTGTTTCATTTGACTTTGACATTCGTTGCACTACCCTCTTCTACTACAATTACTGCATGTATGCATACTCCATGTTACATGACATCAGGTATCGTCAGTGGTGTTGTTTTGTTTGCTTCTAAAGAGCGTAGCTAATCAAGTAAGCACAGTGCAAACGATACTCAGGATCTATCTTAAGCTGCGATTGACCTACGAAAACTTAGGAAGCGTTTGGAATAGTTTTAATCTGTTGTAACCTATTTAGACTATGTAGGGCAGTCACGGTTGAGAGATCGTTACCCATGCTCTGCTGAGGACGAAGTATCCATTTTCTGATGTGCCAGTGGCTCACGTTCTTCCCCTCATTTACACGCTTCAGCGATTTCAACAAATTCTGCATAACTATACTTTAAGTACATAGAATTACACACATATGTTTAGACACTAGATAAGGTATACACAAGCTTGATAAATAATGCCAGACAAATACACATCGATTATCACCCAACGATCACACGCAGGTGCTCGATGAGGGTTTTGGCGGCGGAAAAAATACTCGCGGAAAGATTTCGTTTAGTTTTACAGGTAGAGTCGTTGACTCTGCCTTCTGAGAGTCAGGAGGTGGTGTAGTAAAAACGATGTTGATTTGTGGATCTACCTCCTCCCGCGAAATTCTCTGCCCCCAAGGTTTTATTTTCTCCTCGACCTTTGCTTCGTCATCGTCCGGAATATGGTCGCTGTGATCGTACTGGTATGCAGGGAATTTGTAACCCTCCGCGCGGAGGCGCTCCCGTGCACAACTGATACATTCCGGTACACAATGTGTAGTAGGTGCAGATGCAGTACAGTCTTCGAAATCGTCTTCGTCGTCCAGATTATCGCATTCTTCATAAAGTTCTGGATACTCGATCTTGTAGATGACTGCACTGATAGAGCAAAGGTAGCAGTTTGGAGGGCACTCGTGTCCCTCAAGAAGTTCTGTTGTAGAAGTCAGTGAATTTGAAGCGGATTGGTTAACCCAGGGGTTCACTTTACCTTCATCTGATTCGTCTTCCTCGAATTCGCTTTCATTATCCACAATAAGTGTGCGAATAGCAGAAGGGGAGTGCATATTCGGAATGCCACGATTGAGGGCCCTTGACGGAGTAGCTGGGAGTTTGGAATACCAACGGTCGAATGACGGACGTTCACAGTCGAAAGACGTGTCAAACGAACTCTGAAGCCTTAATGAGCGTACTAGAAAAATGGCCATGGTTATAAACTACCTCGAAGTCCATGTCATATTCGTCATCTGCGCTATAGTCGTCTTCGCCATCTTCCTCCAGAATCAGCAGGGTGCTAAGTGCGTCTCGTTCATGCCTACCCAAAGGATAGGGACAAGCCGCCTCTGCAAAGGAGCGATTGTGAAGCATAGTAGGATCCATCGTTAATCAAGTAGAGAGAGTTCGTGTCGGACCAGAGCTTCAATGCAGGTCTATAGATGAAAAGAGAGAATCTAAATCGTACACCCTTTAAATACCACCTTGATTCAGCTTTCCCAGCGAAATTCCTTATTGTTTACATTTGCCTGCGATATCTTTTGTTTCTGCAGCGTGACCGCGCAGAACTCATTGTTCTCCTGTTATGGTTCAGAGGCTATGTCAGAAGGGGATCACGCATGTTGGTATTTAGCTATTTAGCAATCTGCCAAAGCTGTATTCATTAACTTACAAGTCGAACAAAAAATCAGTGTCGAGTCGAGCCTATGTCGCTTTAATTGCACAAACGCGTCACAAGAGCTCATGTCGAGCTTGAGAGCGAGCAGCGTGAGTTTTTCGAAGGGTTCAGGATCTGCAAAGAATCTTAAAATACCTCAGACATGCCGCCGGTAGTCGTTCGGGGGGAAAAGCCGATTGGCCCCTGTACTATTTTGATAGCCGCCGGAAATGAGATTATTTTCCCACATCCTTGATCTCCATGGTCAACCCAGTCAAGACCAAACTGGCGTTCGAACTTGACTCTGTACTTCGATCACGACCATCACCAGGAAAGCTGGCTGCTCTTGCTACTATTGCGCTCGGTCAATAACACTGCGAACATTTTTGCCATAATAACGTAACCATTTTGTTCTGGATTCAGTCTTCGAGAAGAAGAGTGAGAAGGCGTGGCTACGAAGTGCCAGAACGATCAAAAAGGAACGAAGAATTCCAAACAGTGGACCGCATAAGGTTGGGTAGTAGCTCAACGCCAACTTGGTCGAGCGCAGGTTTTGTTACGGAATTCATATCGGTCTCAAAGCAGGAAAAGGTCCACGCTTTGACACCAATCTTTGGCAATTGGACGATTCCTCGGCCTCCTTGATCCTCGAAGCTCACAGTCTGAGATATGTCTCGTGATTCTAGCGGGTCATTCACCAGTTCGAATTCCGCAGCGCTGTATCAATCATCTAACCAGTCACTAAATCCTCCAACTTCAACTTCCTCTGCGCCATCGCCTTCTTCATCATCGCATTCATATCCAGATGCAACTTCAGCACCGCCTCTCCCACCTCTTCAAGTGGTCCCTGCGCTCCCGCCAGACCGCCCAAAGCGTAAGCGTCTTGCGCGAGCATGTAATTCTTGCCATAAGAGCAAGCGAAGATGCGACGGAACTGCACCTTGTAGCAACTGCTATTTCGCCAGTAAACCATGTATCTATACAGACTCCAGTGGGAGAACCGTACCTGCACCTCGGGCTGCCGTTATAGGTCCTGGTAATATCCCACCTAATGCAGGTACAGGGAGCAATGTACAGCATCCCATCGAGAGAACGCAACACATGGGCGCTCAGGATGCGAATCCCTCTATAGGAAGTAGATCATTTCGTCCTCAGCACAGCTTATATGGACACGCTGGCCCACCTTATTATCTTCCACCGCCATCGCTCCCTCCTTTACTCCCTCATCCACAACAGACTCAGCCTCCCTCCTCTTCACATGAACATTCATATTCTACCCAATCTTCCTCTTCCAACCTCTATGCAATTTCGTCCGTTCCTAGGCATGAGTGGGATGGCAACGAGTCGTCTTCTATACTCTCTCACCCAGAACATCTTTCCAGAAAACGTCAAAGACAAGATAGTACCGATTTTGCTTCACCGGTATCACTCGATACAAATTGGGCCAGGGAAAACGAGTACCAGCAAACTGTCGATCTTCCTGGACATCGGAGTACTACTTTTGAAACGACCCCGCTGGGCGGATACGCCACGCGGCCATCCATCGTACTGGAACCTGCACTCACGCGAGAATTGACCAATCGTGCGTATTTCCTTACTATGTTTTACTCAGTCCACAGTTTGTTATTTTCCCTCAGTTCTAAATTCCATTTTGCATTTCCATATCCTCTTTCTCTGTGAACCCTTCAACGTCACCCGTGACCAAATCTTTGCGCTTGCTCCTGTATACAGGGTAATTGGACGTTTCCCGCTGTTTCGTCATTCAATCAAATTGCGCCTTCTGAGATTTTCTGGTGCTCAGGACCCCTCTTTGCGCTGAGCGAATAATGTTTGGTACGGCGTTCCGCCTTGTATTCTGTAAAACATACAAAAATTTCACATTGCCCTTCAAATCCCTGCAGCTTGTTTATCTGTGCTCCCCTGGTTACTAATTTTTTTCGCCCTAGTTTTCTTCACGCATTCACATCCCATGGTCATGATAATACACAAACCATCTTTCACAAATGCGGTTACAATGAACCAGGTGCCGATGTATCTGCTGTATGTAAGTGTTGCGCCATTATCCAAACTTTTTTCTCTTGCGTTTCGTCGTTTCTGAATACTTCAACCCTTCTCCGCGTTTTTATCGGCGTTGTTGATCCTTCTTACATCAGAAAGCCAGCCAGCTGACTGATTATTTTCGTTGATCTTTGGTCACCGATATTCACACAGGCTGTCTGTGCACTTGCATCTCGACATTCCAAACAGCCATCACTTGCAGCAACTCCGCGGCGCTTATCGGGAAGACATTTTGCGGATGAAGCAGTGAGGTTGATGTTCGAAATTCCGAAAAACTCCAACTCAGATCATAGTACCGACAAAAGCAGAGATGCCGCAGCAGAGCCCTCGAGCACGGACGATCTTTACCGCGGAGTTCTGGTCCTTCCTGCTTCGCTTTACACAGCTCAGACGCTTTGTCTTCTTACAGTATATGAATTACTCGCCTGGGAGCAGAAACCCTCGACCGTTGCTCGCAATTTTACGCGTGCTGGAGGCTCTACTGATCAGGATCCGAAGTTGATTTCACCTCAAGGAGAACGATTTCGTCAACTCACACTTCAGATGCTTCAAGAGCTTGGCGTACACAAACCTACATATCCGCTTTTAACTCCTGTACCGAGCCAGGCATTCATCGAGGAGAGCATTGAAAAGGAATGCGTAAGGTCAGTTTTCGCAACTATTGAAGGTCAGTTTGGCAATCATGAACTAAACGTGAATTTGACAGAAGAATCTTCTGGCTTATATACATATTGGATTGTATGCGAGAAATTTACTATCAAGGTGAGGGCCAGTTACGAGGAGGTAGTGGGCGAGGATATCATAGTGGAGGAAATCTTAATGGCGAAATCTCATCGCATCATACTGATGCGCAAGGTAGCGTCGAGTCCACAGGAGGCTCACAGCCGTCAACAAATGCCGCCTCTTTACCTCAATTCACGAGTACGACGACTGACCCATCATTTGATTCACCCCCATTTTCTCATTATAATGCCTCTATGTCCTTTTCCCCTTCCAAGCGTGCTTTCTCGAATGGGTTCATAGGCTTCAGTTCGGAAGAATTACGCGTTCGTTTACCGGTTGACGAGACGAGTTTCGAGATGGGGGCAGTGCACGAGTGTCTACCCGGTGAGTTTCCCTATGTGACCTACGTTTTTGAAATGTTGGACAGCTTCTCAAGAATTTCTTTTTAGAGTATCTTTACCTTCCTTCTGCGCCCTTGCCTTCAACACATCTACCGTCTCATAAGGCTACGGCGACGGGCTCAGAACTTGCTCAGACAATTAGAATCCTCAGTATATACAACAAAATTGAGCGCACACTGGATGGGTTATACCAGCCTCCCCTCCAGGCGGCAAAAAGTGATCCAATATCTTTCTCCAAGCATCACGTCCGCCATTATCAAGCTCGCGCCTCTTTTAGTTCTGCCCTTGTAGAGGATCATGAACTTTTCTCCGTATGGGATGAATCTCATCCTTCTTTTCTTCGCTGGGATGAGGGCGAGAATGTGGTAGTACAGAAAAGCATGCTTGAAACAAATTCAAATACTGGTGCATGGTGCTTTTGTCTCATAGCACTTTTAGAAGCGAGCTGTATCATGGGATTAGGTATGGGAAGGCGGGCTGTGCACGGCGAGAGTTGGCCACATCGCGAAGATTCTACAACCATGAAGGCTGTCGATTATACAGGGTCCATGGCATCAAATGGAGGCGCACGAATTGGAATCAATCAAGTTGATTCGGAGCCTAATTGGTGGAAGGTGAAGCATAGAAAAGACAGACCTGGCGAGACGGATTTGGATTGGGGTGTTAGAAGGCTAGACAGTGTGCTGGAAACTTTAGGTGAACGCGCTGCGTACAGTGCCGCCAGTGAGTATCATTCCTAGTTGCATATCCGTCGTTTTCACTCTATTACTGTCAGTGGGCGCCTGGATATGGCCTCTCATGAAATACATGCATCGCGATGATGACAAAATTCAGAAAGGATTGGACGGGTTTGAAGAGTTCTGCGGGGTTCGGATGGATAAACTTGCCGGAAATCATTGGGGAGCTTCCCCGACTCGTACCGGGAAATATGGCGAACTGGGAGATACGGAAATGGCGGATGCTACGTTCTTGAGTGCCGAGCCTCCATTTACCACTCATCAGCACGGACATGTTCATCAGCCAGTGCTAGATTCCCAGACCTCCAACTCATCTGCCCCTGTCTCCTCTGCCTCCTCCACATATATCGGGTCGGAAAATCAGCTACCGCTATTGCAAATGCAAAAAACAACACTCCCTTCGCTAAAATCGAGCGGGCTACTCGATTGGTCAAGTCGATCATCACTTGGCTCGCATCCAGGACCTGCTCCCTTGCATGATCATTCACTGGTCCAATTAAACGTAGGAACTGTCCATCCCAACGCTTATGCAGGAAGTGCATCTCCAACAAGAACATCTGGGTCGTTGATTAATCCGACTGCTAGTTCAACGATATCCGGACCCTTGGTGGCGAGTGAACCGAGCCCGTCAACGGAGACGGTGGATACTTCACTTTGCATTCCTTCGGCCCAATGTGGGACTTCGAATACACAACCAGGGAGGTCAGGTCTGAGCTGGATGATGAATGAATAAAAGAAGGTTAGACCTGCATATACGATGTTATATCACGTTCCAATATTCATAACTCTTCGAACTTTTCACTCTTTCTTTGGGGCCTGGGGTTTCTACAGTTGTGACAAATATATATCTCTGCTATTCAAATCTTCAAAGCTGGGATGTATCCAAGTATCATTGTCCAGATAATATCATAATAATTCATTTACATAAATACGAAATTACTTTTTTTAGGTTTCTGATGCTTCTCTTGTTCATATGGCCTGATTTCGAGCTCGTCTCACATTCTTCTTCTTGTCGTGAATAAAACTCGTCGCCCTCACTTTTTTACTCACTCGTACTTGTACAAATGGATAAGTCCACACGAAGAGCCAAGTTTGAAGGCGTTTGGAACGTGATTCACGATGAGCTATTGGCTCATTTGAAGGCTTGCGGAATGCCAGCAGAGGCTCAGGAGTGGTATTCTGAGGTCTGTTTCCGAAAAACAATTCTTTGCATTTGCATCTGACCGTTTTATCAGAACTTGCATTACAATGTTCCCGGTGGAAAGTTGAACCGTGGAATGTCAGTGGTGGACACTGTCGAAATTCTTAAGGGCCGTCCGTTGACAGATGAAGAATACCTCCAAGTCGCTGTATTAGGATGGGGCGTCGAGCTCGTATGTTTCTGAACAAATAATGTATCCTTCATTTCTCACTGTCGCAAAGCAGCTTCAAGCTTTCTTTCTTGTCACTGACGATCTCATGGACTCTTCCATAACTCGCCGAGGTCAACCGTGCTGGTATCGCGTTCCGAAAATTGGCCTTGTCGCTGTGAACGACGCGTTCATGCTCGAAGGAGCGATTTATCATCTACTCAAACGTCATTTCAAGAAAGAGCCATACTATGTCGATTTGCTCGAATTGTTCCACGAGATTTCGTATCAGACAGAGATTGGGCAGTTGATTGACCTGATCACCGCACCAGAGGATGCAGTTGATTTGAGCAAATTTTCATTACAAAAGTACGTAGCCTTTTCAAGCTTTTCGCGTCCACAGATAGCCACAGATAGTATGCTAACTATCATCAACACACCTATAGACACTCGATGATCGTGGTTTATAAAACTGCTTTCTACTCCTTCTACTTGCCTGTTGCGTTGGCAATGCTATTTTGCTGCGTTCCCACTTTGTACACCCGCCTAATTCCGCCTCCGCAGTGGCTCCTTACGAGGTAGCGAAGAGTATCCTTATTCCTCTGGGCGAATATTTTCAGATTCAAGACGATTTTCTCGACTTTGCTGGAGTTCCTGCGCAGATCGGTAAAGTTGGGACCGACATCATTGATAATAAATGTTCGTGGTGCATCAACACTGCACTAGTCTCTCACCTCATACGCCCAGTAAATCAAGGTAGTAGCCTTTGCCAAAGGGGGTGGTTTGGCTAAGGCTGTTGTCATAGAGTACCACTATCTACCTCTAGCGGAATAAAAGCTGGATATTTCATATAAACTCAGTAGTACTCTAACTTACATACACACTATATATATGCCATTGTATTCAATTCCCGACCTTGAGAAATTTACCCGACGTACACTTCCCGACGCCCGTACCCTGTGTACTTTCTGAGGCATAATAACACTTGCTACTTAAGGTACTACTTCTTTATCGTGGGCTTTACATATATAAGTCATTGTTCCTACTAGGTAGTATTTGTAGGAGGGAGGACCAGCATTGGAGCTCGACGACGGTGTTCAGAAATGCGGACCGTGAGCGCTTATTTGCTGCCTCGTTGTTGTTGACAGCGAGCTCAAGGCAGAGCAATAGTGCAGACTGCCCTCGGACCTTGCGGGAACAGCTGGTAGTATATCTGAGCACCTCTTTGTTATCTGACTGTATTTAAATCATAGTAGAACGTTAGTCCACAAGCTGATCTTTGGTTAAGAGCTTGATTATATGTGAGTTCATTGTACTAAATGTTGAGCTCGAGCATACAAAAATAATCTGTGAGTCCCTAAATTCTGGTACAATGCTCTGCACGCATACACATCCAGCATACTACAAAATGACATATATTGCAGTTATATAGGCTACAGTACAATCTTTAGTACCTTTACGGATGTGAACACAATACAGTCATTGATTTTAAGTACTCGGACATGCCTTCTTACTACTCACATAGTTGCAATATATCTCATTTTGTAGTATGCTGGACGTGTATGCGTGCAGAGCACTGTACCAGAATTTAGGGACTCACAGATTATTTTTGTATGCTCGAGCTCAACATTTAGTACAATGAACTCACATATAATCAAGCTCTTAACCAAAGATCAGCTTGTGGACTAACGTTCTACTATGATTTAAATACAGTCAGATAACAAAGAGGTGCTCAGATATACTACCAGCTGTTCCCGCAAGGTCCGAGGGCAGTCTGCACTATTGCTCTGCCTTGAGCTCGCTGTCAACAACAACGAGGCAGCAAATAAGCGCTCACGGTCCGCATTTCTGAACACCGTCGTCGAGCTCCAATGCTGGTCCTCCCTCCTAAAAATACTACCTAGTAGGAACAATGACTTATATACGTAAAGCCCACGATAAAGAAGTAGTACCTTAAGTAGCAAGTGTTATTATGCCTCAGAAAGTACACAGGGTACGGGCGTCGGGAAGTGTACGTCGGGTAAATTTCTCAAGGTCGGGAATTGAATACAATGGCATATATATAGTGTGTATGTAAGTTAGAGTACTACTGAGTTTATATGAAATATCCAGCTTTTATTCCGCTATAGGTAGATAGTGGTACTCTATGACAACAGCCTTAGCCAAACCACCCCCTTTGGCAAAGGCTACTACCTTGATTTACTGGGCGTATGAGGTGTCTAATAAAGCCTATATCGCAAACGCTGATGGCATCTGGTCATTAGTCTCACACCAGGTGACACCTGTCTGAAGGATGCTAATGGGTTGAACATTTTCAAGCGCTTGAACGCTCCAGGGATTGTTTCAGTGTGTAACTCATACTTCTCAGGACGAAGCGTTGTACTGACCAGACACACTCATTCATTCAGCAGTCCAACTACGCGACTGACCAGATACACTCATTCATTCAGCGGTCCAACTACGCGGTGCATCTGAGATTTGAAGACAAACTTGAATTATAATACTTTCACTCACCCAGGCTCGCTGCAACACGCATAGTCTTTCTCTGACGAATCACGAAACCACCGGGAAGCTTTTACCTCTCAAATTCATCGGCCTTTTCGCATCTTCCTTTCCGGCTTTAGGTTCTACAAGCGTGGATCCGATGATCGATACAGAGCTTGGCGGTCTTCCCTCAGAAATTCTCTTCAAGTTCCAGCGCTTGGCTGCGACTTCGGCCTTCTTCGTTGGTTTCGACTCGCCCGTTTTTCCGATTTGATTGTGTAAAAAAGGAGGGGTAGAATCAGTTTGATGCGTGCGCTCGAAGTACGGTGAGAGGGGTAAAGTCTCGAACATGTCTTTCTAATCGTCATTCATCCCTAGGATGTACTCGTACTTGTCTAAAATCCTAGGCCGAAATTTCAAAACATCTGGGGATGAGTGTGAGACTTTTCACTGAGTCAGACTCAGTAGTAATACTTAGGATATGGATCCTATTCGAAGTGTCTGAGTGGTGATCTAGAGGTGAGTCTGATATCACGATTTTTGTCCTTGGCGGTTAAATTCATTGTAAGATCCTCTACAGCAGGCCAAGTTATATAAAACCCATCCCCTGTTCTCTTAGTCCAATCAGATCGAACTAAACCAAGCTATCATGAAATCTGCCTCTGTGATTGCCTACGCTACCTTGGTTGGCGCCGCTGCTGCGTTTGTCGTTCCGCAAGCTCGTGACAGTTCCATGAATTCCACGACCATTGATGACACTTCGTTGCTCAATTACGTTCTCACTTTCAAAAATCTCGAGAATGCTTTCTACGCTGGCGCTTTGAACAGCTTCACTCAGGATGACTTCGTTAATGATAGTCTCCCTACGTGGTCCCGGGCTCGTTTCGAGCAGATAGCTGAGCATCAACAAGCTCACGTTGATCTTTTGAGCAATGCTATCGGTAGTGGCGCAGCCCAGGCCTGCAACTATACATTGTAGGGCGCACATTTTGTTCGTTCAATTCAATTATTTACTTATCATGTCCTGCAGCCCGTACACTTCTCCTTCCACCTTCGCTGCACTGGCGGAAGTTATTTCGGGTGTCTGTGTATCTGCCTTCGTCGGTGCTGCGCAGTACATCACCAGCAGTGATTATCTCACAACCGCTGCCGCCGTTCTCTCCACTGAAGCTCGCCACGCTGCTTGGATCGCTGGACCTGTCAACCATCAGAATGCGTGGTCCGGAGCTCTCGATACGCCCCTTAGCCTCGACGCAGCTTATACGCTTGCTTCGCAATACATTTCTGGGTGCCCATCGTCCAATCCTACCTTGCCTGTAACCGCCTTCTCCTCTCTTACCATTGCGAATGCTTCGCTAGGCCAAGCATCGACAGTTACTGCCAACAATGTTACTGTTGAGGGGCAATATGTTGCGTTCCTTAGCGGGGTTACCCCGACATTTGTGCAAGTTGTGGGAGGACAGGTTGTTGTTCCCACTACCATCATGGGTACTTCGTACGCGGTATTAACGAGTAGCAATGTGTCAGTCGATGATTCGACAATTACCGCAGGGGTAGTGGTGCTACAGTTCCCTTACAATTCCAATGGCGCTCTAGAAATCGCGTAAAGTACTTTCTCTGGTACGGATGTTATTTCATGAGCGTACTCATTCTACTTACGATTTTATCTTTTGTATCGTTTCGCTCGTTGTTATCTTCATGAAATCCATGAACCCTTCACGCAATTTACATGTATGTACATCAGACAATCTATATACGCAATGACTATCTGTTTTTACTGCAATCATCACGATTTTAACGCCAAGAAATAATAAGAGTTTTTTTTTTCTAGTATTTGCGAGTTGACATTACTTTCTGTCCCCTGCGAAACTGAATCTTCATTGTTATCGCGCATTCGTCAATCTCATCGACCATATCACGCACATATAGTTCTTGCCGAATATCGCGATGCAGTGCGTATATCTAATCGCTTTTAACACGAAAGTTAATGAACGCTATTTTCCTCAGCTTCAAAATCACGTCTAAATCTCCACCCCACTTAATTCAGTTCGAGACACGAAGTTGTGCGACAAACCATTGGCGGGACTTGTTCTTCACTGTGGACGAAATTTCACGTCATGTTGAGCCCTGCTGTCAATGATACTGCCTGGTCCGAATCGGATCTCATGTTCAACGTCGTTATCCGAGTCATTTGAACATCGACCAGGAATAGGATCCTATCCCTACGCCCAGGGTTCTTCTCCTGGCACTGTTCTTCCTGGACTTCTAGTACAAGCAGTGGGATAGGGCCCAGAAATTGGTCAGTATCGAGGCCCGAGGATGTAGCTCTCCGATGATCTCGATGGTCTCAATGTAGCACAAGTGGACAGTATGCCGCAGAGTTCAAAACTCAGCCATATTATCGTCCCAGCCAAATCCTCGGGGTCACTTTCCTTGGACAAATAGGCCAGATTGGCAGACGGATTCGCGACAAAAATTGGCCATACAGAATTACCAGACACGAAACTGCTTCCTACGCTGCGCACGCCACTGATACCTGCTTGTTTCCTCCGTGACTAGATCCAACCTGACGCGGACGAGTGAGCGTGCTTGGTTGCTGGAAATCAACGATTTTGGTGAGTTCCCTACATATTTATTGGGTGGTTGTTTCTAGGTTGTTTGTTCAATAGTTTTCCATTATGCATGGTATCTACCTGGATCTGCTCATACGCGATGGACCGTCGCCTCCTCCCCAAAAATCCGTCAGCCAGCATGCTCCATCCATGAACGAACCACATCAAGCCCGACAGTCCTCAACATCGATGTCTGTCAGATACACACAGCGCCGCTGACGGTGTATCATCAGAGATTGGGCTCTCTTGGTCATCGTAGCAGCCGCGGGCTAATACGCTATCAGGATACCTCGAGTCAGGCATCTACTCCAACAAAAATCGAGGCTGTAATTCGTCGATTGCTATGAAGGCGCCGATATTTTGAGAGAGGATACTGTGTGCCTCAAGAGGAGGAGGAGAAGGCAGGTGTGAAGGTTACATTTGTCACTGATGGAAAAGATTTGAACATTCAGCGTATTATTCGAGAGAACCATGGTGGATTATAGAGGCTATGCATGCTTGTATCTTTAATTCAGGGAATTGCACCTGATGGGATTCTACTACAGAGAGTTAGAGATACCAAAAAGATCACAAATCTAGTGGAGCTCAGCGTACATCTTCCTCTGTTCATTCTCGAGGGCCGATTCATCCGGTCCTCGCACGCTGATTGACCACTCACAATAGAGAACATACAAGGGAGAAAGTCGGGAAGACAAGAGTCTTCAATAACCTGGACTTGGAGGCATGCGACTCAGGCCAAGTTTTGGGACGATTATCCTTTCTATTTCATTGGATGAATTTGACGAATATGATGCCTTCTCCTCGCCTGTCCCGGATAATTTGCGCTTCTTGGGTCCCACCCAATAACTCTCGAGATAATTATGGTCAATTACTGGTCAATGCTGCTGAGCAGAGATCAGAATACAGTACTTGGATGAGTGATAAAGTAAGCAACACAGAGGAAGCCTGTATCATATCTCTGAGGCATAACGAAGTTCACTTGTTCCGTTTATCAGGCAAATGTTCATACAAATGGAAAGCAGCTAGCCTGTGACATAGCTGAGCATATGAGACAACTTGAAACAGGATACTTTACTATGTAGTACAGGCATAAATATAACTTGAATGTGAACATACATACATACTTCGACAGCTATGGGTTCATTTTGGTAGTTGGAGGATGACTGTGGGTTTTGACCTAGTTGCGCTGTAATTTAAATCCTCTATGGCAAAGCTTGAGCTTCGATAGGAAGCTCATACTTCAGCTCAAAGGGTTGAATCATTGAGAGAACATTGTTGGTGTGAGTAGTGCCTGCGAGCACGCAAGTCTGCTCTGGATGATACTCTATGGCTGTGGGTCCAGCAGCTTGCATTTCGGGATCCTCATACTTGAGTTCAAAGGGCTGAATATTGTCAGTGTTGGCAGTGGCTGTTTGTGTACAGCTCTGCTCTGGGTGATCCATTGGTCCAGCAGCCTGCACTTCAACAACCCCAATTGTGGAATATGGCTGCGACGTGGCAAGAACATCTATGCCAAGACCGATACGGACAATAATCATTGTAGATGCAATGCCCTACACGTGAATTGTTAAATCCTATTGATCTTTTTTTCTGAAAGACCACTTACCACAACCTGAGTCAATGTGCAAGGTCTTATAATTTCTAAGCCATCATCCGCAAGGCCAACAATTGATAAATTCAGAAACAGCCACGCAAAAAGAAATATTGGAGTGAGTAATGCAGATTCCAGGCTTTAAAGCAAAAGTGCATCAGTAATAGAATGGGCACATAGATATGTGACAAGCTGACATAGGCCCTAAAAAATTTTGACCACGGCGACTGGCAAATAGCTTTTTGAACCTCCGATTTAACCACCATATTCTTCCAGCTAACAATGATTAAATGAGAAGTTTGAGAAATTCTCAGACCCCACCACATCAAAATTACCTATCATTCCGGACAAGTAGAGATTCTGAGCCATTGTCGCAAAAATGTAAATCATTATTACAACTCGAAGGGAGTCCGCAAGGGCTATGCCCTCAAAGGCACCGGAAGCTCCTCTCTCAATGATTGTAACTAACCAAAAGACTTTGTAATAAGTTCGTATGGGAATTGCAATGAGCACGAATTGCAATGAACATGTACTTACTGAAGCATCCAAGTACACCAAGGATAGGGAGAATGATGACACGTTTTCTTGAGTTCCAAAGTCGATAGCAGCGATGTATCTGTACAGTATAGAACCATTGATAAGATTGGACCTGCATTAATACTGCAAGAAGCTTACCAACATGACATCAGAAAATATACTATTCAAATTAAGGTTAGTATGAAAAAGGAGCCTATAACATAGATTTTGTAAAAAATGAAGTGGCCCTGCCAGTCCATAAGGTTTTTTGATGGGACTGGCTATAGTCATACGTTGTAAAATTTATCACCACTGACGGTACCAGGACATCCGAATCGCCGTTGTTAGCGCGCGTAGCGCGCCACTCTGGCGAAAAACTGGTCCAGAATACCCTAAAATCCTTCAAAAAAACTGCTTTCTGGGTATATTCTAATTAAGACTATTATTTAAGACTAATTAGAGCCAATAAATTCCGATAAAGATTTTGGCAGCGATCCGAAAATCGTGGTAATAGATAAAGTATTATCTCCTGAGAACATCATCAAATTTACTTATCAGCCAGTAGTAAGTATGCGCAAGAAAATGATACCATTAAATGCTATAATATACGTATGATAACAAGAGACAGTCGGTCGTACAAGAAAGTCGGCACTACTATGTTGGTAACTAGATCAAGTATGTAGCTAGCAAGACACAAGAGCCGCTTAATTCACCTTCCGCTTTTTGGAACTCGAGCCTCTGACAGTTTGATCATCTGCTGGGCGTTTTGCTGTAGCCATTCGATCGTTACGGTCCTTGATTGTAATCGGCTCACGAGGTGAAAGAGGTTTTCGAACACGCTGAGGACGAACAGAGCCATCATCTATTATTTCAGGTGCGCCGGATTGAGAATGAGCAGGAGGAGCAGGCCCAGAAATTGTCGAATGATGAGGAGGAATGTTTTCCTTCGTCGATTGCAGGGAAATGACAGCTTTGTGTGTGGGTTTGTGCACGGCTCCAACACCAGGCGCACGAAGAACTAGCTTTATCTTCCTGAGACACACCACCTGTTTCCATCCAGGGTCACTCCTTGGTGCATTGTCCGTCGATACGGAGGTGATCTTCTTCGATGGTGGGTCGCTCTTTGGCGTACCAACTGTCGATGCAAGTTTGTCCTTCGACGTATTGTCTGCTTTAAGAATACCAACCGTCTTTGCCATCACAGGTTTGATTGCAGTCCCACCTTGCTTCGAAGTGCGCCGCTTCTTCAAAATCCCGTGTCTTTTGGAAGACCCTTTCCCTTTGGTTGATACTTCCAAGAGAATATTGGAAGCAGATGGTCCGGTCGAGAAATCGTTGACCGGATTCCAGGGATCGCAATGTGTCTGAGCGAGAGCGTTAGGATTTTGCGCCAGTGATGCTGCTAAGAGAGCAGGTCCTGCAAGGTTGGACACTATGGGATCAGAGATTGGTTCGGACAATATAGCAGGATTGGACATGTAGTCGCTTGTGGGAATTTCTCGACTAGGCTCAGTCATGGATGCGGCTTGGGGATCTGATACAGGTTTTGTACTGGAAGGAGGCAGGTCATTGTCCATTCCAGGTAACGGTGAACCCTTTTCAGCAGAAGCAACCATTTGCAGAACGGTCGACGCCCTGTTAACACACGTAGTATCAATTGTGGCTAGCATCGGGTCTAAAATGGAGACAGGGGCAGATGTCGTAGATGGCAAAGAATCAGCTCGCGAATCTGGTGAGATCGTCCCGGTGACTGGGTTTGAGTCTAGAACGGAGGCGAGGGTGGATGGCGTACATGGCAAAGAACCCGATAGCGAATTTGACAAGGTGGTCCCAGTTGAGTCCAGAAGGGAGACAAGAGTAGATGCTGTAGATGGCAAGGAAGTGGGAAGAGCATTCAACGAGGTGATCACAGCCAAAGTAATCTGTGAAGTGGTCGATCCGACAGATAACGGATCGACCACAGCCGATGACTTCGGGACCTGTGGCAGATTATTTATAGAATTGGTGACCATATCGGAGCTGGAGAAATTCGACGGCTGTTCGGGGAAGGTCGGGAGGAATGGGAAATCGCCGCACTGCTCATCGGGAAAGGCTGAGAGGTGTGAGCAATCAAACTGCTCCTTGGGAGTAGGGACTTCAGGAAGAGGGGAGCCAGTGTTTGCGGGATGTTCACAGTTGGTCTCAGGATTGAAAGCACCGTTGTTCCACAAATGAGCCCAATCCTCGTTAGAAAATCCTTCGGCATTGCGCAAAGCGGCATCTGAGAGTTCCTGAAATTCAAGGTCTGTCATATTTGACAAGATACTGCGTTTTGGGTCAAAGGTTTCAATCGGCTCTGGTTGAGGCAGAAGACTTTGGGGGAAAGTGGATGGAAAAGATTCTGTAGGCTGGGATGAAACTGGCAGTGGCGAAGTAGCCCGAGCTTCAATGCTCTCAGACGATGTGCATGCATTAGACAACGATATCGGACCTGGCGGAGGTTGAGGGAGAAGCGCAGAATTGACCACATCCGATGATGTCACAGCCGAAATACTGACTACTGCAGAAGAACCCGCAGAGGGATTCACCTTAGACAAAGCAGCAGTTGGAGCACCAGCATTTACAACCGGAGCAGGACTCGCAGTTGACAAGCCTGACACTGCGAGTACTGCATCCGCGGCAGAAGGCGATGCTGAAAAAGCGGGTACAGCTGGCAAACCGGGTGAGTCGGACTCGACTGATGCTGGACAAGGAGATACAACTGTCGATGAATCTGCTGGTGCCACAGAGGATGGCGTAACCGGTGGAGGTTGGGTCGAAGTTGATGGAACTGCGGCATCCTCAGAGACAGGAGATACGAGGGCCGGTCCAGTCTCAGGAGTGCTCTGAGCACTCTCTTTCAGCCAGTCAACGGTCCCGGCTATCAAATTAAGCACAATTCAACGACCCGAGTGTGGAACAAAAGAAGACCCGCCTACCTAGTGCGTGTTCTGCAAAATTTAGAAATGGTCGGAGAACTCTCGTCTTGTAGTCAGGGAGTGCCCGGTAAAAAGGTTGACCATGAATATCATGACCAACATGAAACCTATAGAGCCTGATTAAGCCAGGAGGAACTGAAGGAATGAACAATAAGCCTACCCGTAGGTACGAAGACTGTTGTTGTTATCAGGATCCAAACCTGCCGCGATGAACATCGTACAAAGTCCTCCGAGTGTCGCAAGCTTCAAAGAGACCTCAGAGATTGTCATGTCCAGATTGCGCATAAATCTGACGAAGCACCAAAATGATTAAATAATGGAGACAGGAACTCAAAAATGGACGATCACAACTCACTCAACATGTTCCATTCCCTTTAATTGGCGGAGCTGGCCAGATGCTACGGTCGGCATAGCGGCTGGAGGTACTTCCTCCTTCTCAGATTTCGCCAAGACCTCTATGGCTTCCATCTTCACTGGATCCTGCTGAGCGGCTTCCCATCCGGCGTTAATATACTTATTGCGAATCTTCATCCTCTCACTTCTAGAGATTGACTCGCCCAAATTCGTGATTTCAAGGTCAACCTGAGTCTTGCATTCCGCATTGTAGTAGAGTCGAGAATAGATTTCTTGCTTCTTGTGGTGGCGATTCGACGTTTTCGACTTGGTAGCAGTCAAATGAGAGCCGCCAATGTAGATTTTTACCGCTTCTCGGGCCTGAGCACGAGACTTTCGGCTACTATTGTTAAGGGAGTGGTTGTTGAGAAAGTTTCTAAGCGCCTGCCCAAACAGGTAAATAATGAGACCAAGACTCAAGTTATCAATGAGCAAACCTACCTTGAACTTCTCATCACTCTGCCGCCCTAACGCTTCGCGAGTCTCAGCGTCTACATCAGTACTAATTTCGGTCACCAATGGGAACCTCGAAAAGAAAGCAGCGCGCAGAGGAGGCCAGAAATCAGCAACTACTTTCCTGTTTTGATGATCGACAAAGGAAGACAATTTCTCCACCGCCCAGGCTTTTTCGTCCTTGGTCAACGGCATAATGCTTGTCAGTCAATAGTGTTATAACAGGTTATAGCCTGTTATCACTTGTAATAGCTTGTCAGTCGAAATTATGAATTGTACGGCTTGTCAGTAATTGATCAATCTCGGGTTTATCCGAGGCATAACTGTACAGTAGCACATGATCTGTTGATTCCAAGTACTTACCTCGAAGTTGAACGTTGAACATCCCACATTCAAACTATCTGAAAATGACTTCGTCGCCTTCTCACCCTCCTGCTACTACCGCGGAAATTCTGCAGAATGCCGCAGAAGCAATGAACGCACTCATCACGCATTGTAGGTGATATTCAATCACTGATAGACCCATTGATATTGATAGCCATCTTTGATAGTCGCTAGTAAGTTGTTTTTCCGATGGAACAATTTTGGCGGAAACAAATGTCTCAGGTTCGACGAACACTGTCTCCAGTCAACCCGGTTCCAGCGACAGTAAGTGACTTCTTTCCTCTTGCTTTTCCAATTTTTTCAATGACACCCAGGTTTGAATGACGGTTCAGCACCTCAAAGAAGTCCCGGTACTATGGATCTTCCAGTGGCGCTTAACCCTACCCCCACAGGTACTTATGTTTGATCTTCTTTTCTCGCCTTACAACTCAATTCTCGGTACAGGTACCACACTAAATCTTCCCCACCATAAGACTGATTCAATTGATATTCTTATCAGATATTGCGCGTACCGGGGAAACGCCTACCCCTGTCGTGAACTCGGCTCCCACCGGAATTGGCTCGGACACGGCGAACAAAGCTAGTCCTTCATCTGCCAGTGAACATCGTATGACTCGCGGTCCAATCTGTCAAAACGATTGTAACTGTGTATGTCATCGGGACCCAAGTGAAGGGCCGCACTATGCGGTAATAGTTGGACGAAACACGGGTGTATTTCGTGAATGGTAAGGATTTACTTTCCCTAATTTCTTCTGGCTTACATACGTTTGTTGTTCAAAGGAGTGAAGTTCAGCCACTTGTCACAGGCATACCAGCTTGTTACACAAAATATCCCTCTCGCGTTGAGGCTGATGCATCCTATGTCGATGCTGTGATGAACAACCGCGTGAAAATGATTGGTCCCAGCTAAATAAATCTGCCATTTCCATAGTCATATGTTTACCGCAGAGCTTCTTAACTTCCTTGTCATAGCTCTTGTCGTAGCTCAAAAACCCATCGTAGTTCGTTCTTGTCGTTATCTTGTTGCTTCAATCAATTGCTTGTACTCACATGCAAAATGAAATGAAATACAATTGCTGTAGTTACATACGTCAATACTGTTGGTAAAATCGCACTTTAATTCGGTACACAGTACAAGGAACAGCAGGGAACACCAGGCACATAAAGCAAGGGTACACAAGATATATATTAACGTACAAGAAGATATTCGCGAGGTACAGATTGACGTATAAATTCACATCCTGCTCACCTAGAGAGGAGATGTCGAAGCCGGCCACTCGCCGAAAAGAGTTGGTGTTGCAAGTCATCCCGGCCCATGAATGCCCAATGCATAAAGTCCTCGATGTCCTCTTTCCACGCATCCATTTCTGCCACATAAGCAATCACCTCATTAACTGCACCTTCTTCGTTCGGCTTGGCGATAGAAACAATCTGTTGCCTGCGAATTTCCATCTGGGACAACAAAAGTTTGATCTTTACTTCGATTTTATCGATCGAGTCGAATTCCTCCAAGCGCATGAACTCCTGGTAAAGAGGTTCAAAGATCTTTCGACGAGAGTTACCACAAAGCGTCCTAAAATCTGCATAGAGTTCGTGAACTTTCTCCATGGTGAATAACAACTGAGTCATCAACACAGGACGACGTGATGGCCTTGAACTTTTGTCAGAGAAACGTATAATGAGCAAAATAGTATACACAAACATAGACATAGTACTAGGTGAAGTATACCCCGGATCTGGACTAGATGAACGCACCAGCGGCGAGCTACATCCATTTGGGTCATCAACAGTCATCTACAAAAGTGCCCTGATACTCACCTCGGAGGAAGTAGAAAATGCGCGGGCAGGTTCGGAGCGTCGTGCTTGGGCCTAGCAACAAGGGAACCATAGATAAAACCGGTTCCTCCTTCAAACGATTAGAGCGGCACTCACCCTTTTTTGTTGACACCATGTCGATGTTTTTTTGACCGCTGCCTGGGCAATTTCAGACTTTTGATTGTTTTCGAACTCCCTGTCTTGGGCGGCACAGTTGCGGGTGCCGCACGCATCTTTTTTTTGCAAGTAGTCGACGCCTTTGGTTTAGTAGGGCTCTTGGTCTCCTTCGGTCCAGGTGTCTTGCGTGATGCAGATGTAGGACTCGAGATCGCCCTCAGTAAAGGTATTTTGCATGGCACAGACGTAGGACTCATGGGTGCCTTCGAAGTGGGTGTTTGAGGGGGGGTAGGTAAGCCCGCATGAGGATGACCACCAGAGACCAAATTTTGTGCCGCGGTGAGGTCTTCATTTACTTTGTCCGCCTCGCTTGCAATAACGGAGCTTTTTGTCAGCTTATTAGTTCTTAACATTCCGATGTAACCAGGAAATGGCGTACTTGTGCGCCTTCTTCTGGTAAGCCTCTGAAACTTCTATGCATTGGTTCAACTGCATTTAGTTCATACTATGCTAGTTGGACCTAGCATGTGGGTTTCCTGGGGGTTTCAGTGCTTCTCTAATCCAGTTGACAATGCCACGCCTTTGCAAAATCACCTCTTATTCTGCTACGCGTCAAACCTCCTGTATGCCAAGAACCATGGGAGAGTCCACCTGACAGATGCTCTGCCGCCATCGATTCTTGATTTAGTCAAACGACTCTTCTTAGACACTACGGGATTCGCAGATGCTCTTTCTTCGACTTCTTCGACGGGGTTTTTGGCCAGTACATCTGAAAAAGCAATGGCATCCTTTGTATATCACGCTGCTCTATTCATAGTCTCAGCCATGCCGCGCCAACGCCAAAAGCCAATTGACGGTTTCGATTCTCATTATCTTTCTGACCTCCGCGATTTGGAAGAGCCGAGTACACAGTTCCTTTCAACCTTTCTTCCAAGCAATCCCCAACATGCCTCTATCCGACATCGAGATGCGGCGCCTTCTTTCAAGGTATCCCTTGGTCATCGTGTCGTCAGTTCTCGTTCGGTTGTCCCTACGGAGTTCTTGTACTCTCTGCCAGTGGAGCCTCCCATAATTGATGCCGCGTCTCATCCTTATGTTACTCACGCTGCGCCGAACGAGTACCTATGTACAGACTTCTCGCCGAGTGAAATGGGCAGATACGCATTCGACAACCCTGCATTATCCGGTGACCTCAACGAAAACGAAGAGGTTGTCAATACTTCGCTGGAGAGCAGTAAGGCATCGAACGTAAGTCCATCTTTTCGTTGTTGTGTTTTGCCTTCATCTCGCTGACTTTATTTGCATTTCTAGGAACTACGCGATTGGCATGCAAACCATGTCGAAGAATATATTCATGAGCTTCTGCAACATGAGGGAAGAGGACCATCTCCAAAACCAGCTTGTCCCTGTGGGATAGCGTTTGACGATCAACAACCCAACCTCCGGAGCTTCAGATGCACCGAGTGCTTTGATTCAAACCTCTGGTGTGCCGAGTGTATAGTCAGTAATCATGAACAGAACCCTCTTCATATCATTCAAGTAAGTCATTCGTTAAGGTCCATACGTGTGGTTGACCAAACTTATGCCTTTTCTAGGCCTGGAATGGAACTTTTTTCGAATCATTGGAGCTCAGTAGTCTTGGCCTCGTTATTCACCTCGGACCACATTCGGCAACGTCGCCATGCTGGCAAGCGATCAATCATAAGCCACGACTATTCACGATTATCGGGGTTCAACGCATTCATGCGGCATCAATCAAGTTCTGTTCGTGTCAGAAGGGCAGTGATCTAGACCGGCGACAACTTCTGGCGGCGGGCTTACTCCCTGCCACGACCACTCACCCTCAAACAGCTGCAACGTTCGAATTTTTGAACTTCTTCCAAATTCTTTCCTTCATGTCAAAGGCGTCAGTCTCAGAATATTATCAAACTCTCGAGCGTGTCACAAACAATATAGGCACTTTTGTACCTCCAGTAAGTCTAGTCTTCGATGCATGTCTGCGCTGTGGCTTGAGCTCATGTTTTCCTACCTACAGAATAGGCTTCGAGAAGTTCTCGGAATGATTCGACAGTGGCGATTTCTCATGACACTGAAGCGAAGCGGGCAAGGTCATAACCCTGAAGGTGTTTTGGCTCTGAAGCCTGGGTTACTAGCTGTGAAATGTCTAGCTTGTGCTCATCCTGGAAAAAATGCGCCGAGTCTCGACGACCCTGTGGATCCTGAGAAGGAGTAAGTCCTCATTCTTTGCCTTTCAAAAATTTGCTTGCTTGACTCTCGATGAAAGGTGGTTATACAAGCGCTTCGAAGGACTCGATGCCAATTTTCGATGCACAAGACTCAACATCTCAAGCGAAGCGAAGGATCCGAGTTTCAACAAGGGCTCTGCCTTTTTTTGTGACGATCACGAATTCCAGTGTCATCTTCTGAAAATGTCCGGGAAGTGGCCGACAGAAACTTCGGATTGTAACGATCATGATGCGATCAAGCTAGCAAACAAACGAGGCGAAAAAAATCTGGCAGTGACTGGTATTGCAATGGCAAGCTGTACGCGACATGAATGTACTTTACCCCAATCAGTAGCAGACTTACGGCTCGGCGAGGAGTGCGTTATCTGCATTTTTTTTCAGTCAATTCCTGTCACTCACCTAGACTCCAGATATATCATTATGGATTATGTATTGTTATCGTCGCTCCAAATAAACTGTCCAAAGAACCTGACCATCTCTTATGACATTATGTGTCAATTTTCAAAGAAGCTCAGGGCACGCATCGATTCATACGGAGGACACCTCAGCCTGCCTGACCAAGTTGATCCCGCAAACTTACAACTCTTGATCCCGAAATTTCACCTCATGGGCCACCAGGAATCTTGTCGGCACAAATATGCCTTTGGGTATGCGAAGCGAACAGGTAGAACAGATGGTGAAGGAGTGGAGAGAGTTTGGGCCGTAACCAATTCACTTGCAGGGAGTAGTAAAAAGATGGGTCCAGGCGGGAGGTGGGACATGATGGATGATCACTGGAACGATAGGAATCATAGGAAGCGGATAACGATAGGTATATATCTTCACATTGCGATCTGTTCTTTACTGACCATCTTTCCAGCTCTTGCTATGTTTAATAAAGCAGTCCATGCAGCAGAACAAAGAGCAGCACATGTGATCGCATACGAAGAACTTTGTGAGAGTCTCAACCAGGATCAGATGAAGAAGTGGCGAAGTGAAATCAGGGCTTGGGATGACGACCATTCGAAACAAAACCCTTACGTATCATCTGTTCGACGTAAGATCCAATGTTCTTTTGTTTAAAATCTGAGAATTCATACATTCCCTTCAGCCTTGCAATTAGGTCAAATTCGGTTGGAACTGGCAAAGGAGGATGCTGCATTGGCTCGCCAATCGGCTATTCATCCGAAGCCGGGCTTGTTGAAGCAAATGACTCCCACCGCGCTTGTCATACAAGGCCTAGAACTTGAAGAGCAGCAGTGTGTTGTTTTATGGATATAAGTTACTTTGATTCACTAACCCTCACGTTAGGCGACGCCTTATTTTTGATCACATGGCACTGGGAAATCATCCGACATCGCTTCAGCTGGCAAAAATCGTGGAACGTTCGACAAACTTGCGCAGTCGCATCCATGCTTGGATTGGGGTTCAAGCATTATATATGCCCAGGACTACGCTGCTGCGTGCTGAGTATGTAAATCAGTCCAGTACGTTGCAGTCATATATGAAGAATTTTGCTTGACCTTGAGTTTAGAAAACTCTGCTGCTGGCGATATACCTTTGTTCCTCCCAGGTGCCGTTTTTGACGCAGGTGAGACTTGCGATGTTCGGCTGATCGATATCGAGTGGAGACTTCGATTTGCTGCTGCTCATGATGAGGTGGAGAAAATCAGAAAAAGCTTACTCTCCCGAACTTCCGTCATCAACTATAAGCGTGACTATGGCCACGGTCAACGCCAGGGTACCCGATCAGCTGCAGTTATGGACACCTTGGATAACAACATCAATGCCTGCGCTGCAAGGTATAGAATTCATCATGACATGCTGTCGAAATATGGTGCGACGTTAGGCAAGAATTCTTCGTGGATGGACTCGCTTCGACCATTGAAACAGGAAGATCTTCGTCAACCCGATGGTCGTTTAGAAGATAAAATAGATGGTCGGGCTGCAGGCTATGTTTCTTGGATTTGGCTTGCAACTCCTAGCGATGTTATGAGCGATCAAAATGTAGCAGATTGTGAGTCGCTTTCAATTTCTTTCACCCTCAATCTGGGAATGCTAACTGTTGGGTTATATGCGATGTGGCAGGTCTACGTATCACGTTTTGTAAGGCACGTTCCAAAGCTCTGGAGTGGCAGGAGGAGTGTTTATTGATTCAGGAAGAGATGCGCAGAATATTGCAGATGTTGGAAGCAGAGGCAGTAGAATGGGACTTGCGTCGAGAATCCAACGTTGACTACGATCCTCTCAACGTAGGGTTCGAGGGACGAGTCGCTTACGCCTGTCGTCAAGCCTCCATTCGACGCAAGCTGGCTACGGTATGCAAACGAAAATGGGAGGGTATGAGTAGTTTGCTTGCATCTGGCCGGGGAGGTATCGCTCTTACAGACTCTTCTTTTGCATTTGTGAACTAGTGTGTTATCTACCGTATCTATTATACCGTTATACATAGATATGGCGTCATAAAATTGACCGTCTTGAGCACCAGATATAGTTTTAGGGTCAAAAATCGATAAAAATGAGAGAATAATCGAATAATCCAAATCTGGCAGGGTTATTCATACTCAGATATACTCAGATATAGGGCGTCTAGCATTTGTGGGTATATATAAGAAATATACCGGAATGCGAGCTGTAGGGCTCCGTCGATATTCCAAATAAGGGAACACTGGTAGTGCCAGTGGTCATTGAAAATATAATGGGTGGCTATAGCCTGTCCGATCAAATTTTGTTATTAACTGGCATTACCAGTCAATCATCAATTATCACGACGTTATAAGGTGGAAAAAGCTGATATACTCATGGCACTCAACCCAGCAATGAGAAAGAGAGATTCGAGAACAGCCTGCACCGTTGCCGCTGCACTATATGCCACCCCCCACATATAACAAGTTAAAAATAAATCCAGAATGATAGACACTGTAGCAAGTAAAAAGAAAAAGACAGTTGCAATGATATACAGCCTTCCTGGAGCATATTTCTGTTGGAAAAGGTATATGCTGAGGCTAAAAAGCACTATGAAGATGCCTAGATGATTTTCCAATTATTTATTTTAGTCCAATTATTTTCTACAGTGAAACGGTCTTACCATATAATAGCACTTCCAACTGCATCAAAAATGAGACCCGAATGAATCAGGTTAGAAGAGGACGAGGATTACTGTACACGTACTGCAACAGGTAGAACAACTGTCACAGTTATTCCTTCCGAGATAATCATTATGGATCGAATAGTCCAGACAGGAAAGAGGGCGACGACGCAGACGTTATAGTACTATTTATACCTTACGAGGTCCACAATCATGATCTTGGGAGAGATATCATACTCTGAGGTGATGTACAGTTGAAGGTTCGTAGTGAAGTCTCTAAGGCTTCCATCTCCATCATCCTAATAATCATCTGATGGGTCATCGAACGGTAAAAACCTCATCATTTCTGAAGCTTGTTGCGTGCGTTGAATGTAAGAGTTGTGCGGAGGAAAGGTAAGGAAGGAAAAAGGAGGAAAGGTAGGATTTTTGACATGTGGTCGTCTTGAAACGGTGACCCGTGCCGGTAACGGCCTAATTGCACAACTGCACAGCCAGCAACCCCCAGTGGCAGTGGACCCGATTATATCAACCGTTCAGTCTTTTTCCATTCATTCCACTCCAACGTTGTCAGTAACCTCGTTGCATCCGCAAAAGTTGAACGCAGATTGATTATCTTGCTCACCAACCAGGAAACTTCCTGATGCTTTTTACATGGCAAACTTGATGGCGACGAAACAACTTCGGGTGGTGAGTAACCTTAGTAGAATCAGAAAAGATCATTCACATCAGAGTAAAGCCCGAACCAAGTACGCTCTTTCATGCCTGCAGTAAATTCTTTTGATTGGCTCGTTCGAAGTGTGCAACCTCTGTGCCTTTTGCAATCCTTTTCGCACTCCTCGCACCGTTTCGTAAATATGCGCTACATCATTTGTCGAGCCTTTCTTTCTACTTACGAACCCTCTCCTGTTCTCATCACGACCGCCGAGGCGTTTTTGAAAGCAGTCCCATAGACTTCGTCCGAACTTTCATGGTTTTTGTAAAAGCAAGGAGAGGTCTTTATCTCTATCAATTTAGGTATCAAAACGCCCGTGTTTAGGCTAAAACCTCCTCCACGGAATCGTTTTCTTCAGATTCTTTATCGCGTCGATAAAATCTCTCCTAGTGACACTCTGTAGTTGGCTCGACGTCGCTTTTCCTGGTGTCAGACCCGACTCCTATACTCGCAGCCTTCTTTAGATTTGCGTTTGACACGCGTCTATACCTTATCACCCGCTCTTCCCGATCTCTAAGACCCAACTTCATCGCGACTCTTGGATCTCGGAAGCGCTCTCTTTAGCCTCGATGTTTGGTGCGACATAAGGCAATATGCCAAAGGATGGTCAGTGCTATTGGTAGTGCGGATTGGGTTCGTCAAAACAGCTCGTTTTCGGGTGTTCTTTAATATGAACCCTTCAGGAATGCCTCGTCAGCCATCGTGATCTCTTAACAATTGGATACCCTAGGGCTATAAACTGGCCAGCTGTGTATTGAATCGAATTGCAAGCTATGTCTCATTTGAAATACTTTGTCGTTGCTCGTTACTGTGAAGCGCATGCCGTTTATTAATGTCCGTCAGCTCTCCAGGTTCCTCGTTACTGATAAGCCTGGCTTCCACCGTGGAAAGAAGCTACTATGACGACGCCGATGGTAAGCTAAATTTCGAGTCTCAAGTACTGCTGCGCTGTTGCCAAAATTCGTCAACAGTTCGCCATGCTATATGAACGTGATCACGCAGTGTTAGCTCCGAGACGCTAACGATATGCCCTCGTCACCCCACTTCTCTTAAAACTCCTCTCATATGTGATATGTGGAGCTCCGGACGACTGGTAATCTATATGTCTTAACTTGATAAAGTTGAGAACATGCAAAGACAAATATCGTAGCAGTCCTGCGAACATAGGTGCGAGACGATGCGAGGTGGATGAGGCCAAGCAGTCGAGGGTGCTTCGAGGTCCGATCAAGTTTTCCGCGAAGTTCAAGTACCGAAATCGCGAACGGGACAAAGGTTGGAACCTTTGGTGCCCCGCATATTTTCTATCTTTAGGCCATGACTTCCAAAGACTTTCTTAGGTCACGCTACCATAGACCTTGATCCTCATCGCTTGTGTGCTAGTTTGGAAGTGATGACGGTGTTTCCGGATGTTCGATCTACAATTTTTCGCGTGAGTGATATACTTCTACATGAAGATACCCTTACTCACAATCTATTCCCTCGCTTCACAAACTTCGCCTGCTTGCGATAAGCCCTCAAATCTTCATCCGAAAGCTTTTTTTCTAATGACCCAGCGTCGTCGAGCGAGAGGCTCAGAACGTGTGATAACAGACGATCCATTTACTGAAGTACTCGGAGAATATCCAGAAGCTGTTGTCTGTGGTGTTTAGATTGCCAGAGGATTTCCGTAGACATTTAAGAAGCGTCCACAGGAACGGTTGATTGTACTTTCCAAAAGAGAGGTATGCCGTCGATCCTATTCGTCTACCCAATATCAAGTGTTCTTCTCTTCCCAGATCACTATTAGGATTACTTGCAGCCATATCTTTAAAGTACAATGATATAAAATCAAGTCGTAGCTCGTGCTGGTTTTCTGACAGACGCTATAATTCTAGAGCCTCCGAGCTAGATATCATGTCAAGGGAACTGGAATTTCTCAACTCTTATCTCTTTGCCAGCACGTATGAACAAGCCTCCCGTCAACATGCAGATAGGATCTCCAATATAACTACGCTTACTAGTCAGGAAAAAGCTCATCCTAAGTTCGATTATCATTATCTATATTGAAGGGAAGCCCCTCCTGCTCTTCCTCTCTGGTCACTTCATTGACCGCATCGTGCTTCAACGCTTTCGACCCCATTTAACTAACGCAGTCCACCTGTGCCCCTCTGTGCCCTCAGTGAATGTCACTTACGACACACACGCTCTGCTCCGCAAGGACAAATAGCTCATTCACATTGGTGTTGTGAAGGGTCTATTATAACAATGTCTGGGCTGGCTGACTGACTCGTTCGCTGTGACAAGGAGCCTTGCGGAGACTGCGTCTACTAAGGGTCGAGATGGCAGGAGGTAGGGAGGCCCTGTAACATTTACGAGCGCCTAGATCTTTTAGCCTTTGCTATCCTAGTTTGACATCGTACAGTCTAATCTATTCGTCAACAAAGCACAGGTCCTTGGATGTTCGGAACCAATAAATCGTCGCTGTACATCCAGTAGCATCCAGCGGTATAACCTCTCCCTTACAACATTACCCCGCATTCTCTCTTGTCGATGAGAATGAGCATTGGCGACGACTGTTTGACACATGATTCTGTCGCCCTGTTGAGCTGTGGGGACGATATAATTAATCCTGTTGGCGCGGAGGGGTTCTTCCGCTTTGACACAACATTGTTCTAACTCGAGGGCCCCACCGCAAAGTCCGATACGCATCAAGGATCATGAATGGTTTCACAGACCTTGAAGCTTTAATATCGTGCATTAGACAGCGAAGACAACGTTCGTAGCTCTCTTATGCCAACTCCTTCGCCGCTTGACACAGATACACATAAGGGCCATGGAAGGATCAATTCACACGATCGACTTCTCACGCTTACCCCCGCAGGATCCCTTACATCATAATTCTGCGAACTCGATTCGTTGTTAACATCATCAACTGGCCCTTTTCATCCCTCCCCATTGGCCTTCTCCTTGTCGATTCAAGGGAGACGATTGCCAGCTTTTTCGAACTCACTGGTATCTCAGGGACTATTTCCTGGTCTGTGCTCCCCATTAGTCACCATCCGGCGGTAATCAGAATTGTCACTGCTACTCCTGCTCCTGCAACCCTCGAATCCTTTCCTCACGCACACCATCAAGTTCAATGTTGAGGGTTCAGAGTTCCAGCTCCCGCCTCGAGTTTTCCGTCTCAGGGCAGACGAATGCTAGTGACAATCGTTGTGTCAGGAGAAAGAGGTCAAAGATACGAGGCGCGTTTTTCCCCTCCGAGTCGTCGGTGATCTGAGGTGGATGAGATGGTTGTGCTTTTCAGACGGTGGTGGATTTGCTTTGTGAGTCTCCCCTACCTCTGGTTAACGTCCTCGTATATAACAACTGTACCTATTCAGGCTCAACGGAATGCAGAGTGGAGGAAACCCCACTGCACTCTGCCAATGATCCTTGTTTGTCACCCTTTTAAATTGAACGACCTGACAAAATGCTCGCTCAGAGTCGTTGGTATATTTTGCGCTAGGTGGATGTTTCATCGGTCCACTATTATCTTCGACTGAACCCTTCATGTTGGTTTGTAGAACTACTATAAAAATTTCGAGCGGGAGAATTTTCCGTGATGGAGCTATTGTAGGCACGGATGGTATTGTGCGTGTGACAGCGGGTTGAACTGCCTACTCCATATCGTATTATTCTGGGGTTCGCCCAACTCGGGTGTTGAAAACTCCAAAAATTTTTGTAAAGCCAGTCTCCGAGCAAGACGGTAGACCTATGAATCATGTCATTATACTTGGTTCATCACAGAAGCATCTGTATGTCGTCCAAACCTGAGTATCCAAATATATCATCAAGTGTAAGTAGTGATCATTCATTCTTCTAGGTTTCGTCTTTGTCAGAGTTCTGACAACTCATTTCTGCCAGAGAAATTCTTAGATTCATCAGCCAGCCAATGAGCGCTAGCCAGCTTCCATGAGCATGGGCGGGTTGGATTTAGGGCCAAGGATAGTCAGATCTAAAGAGGTGTAGGACCTTGTAACATATTGAGGAATATTCAGTTGACCCGTAGATGTAGCTAATGCGCCGACTGATACTCAGGCATTGAAGGGAACGCTCCTGGATTGGTGAAATCGGATCGGTTGGATGTAAAAAAGGAAAATTGCAATACAGCGCCGCACTGTCATGGAAGCCCCACTACCACATTGCTACTATAATGGTCGTAATGAGTAGGTTTTGACAATGAGAACTACTCTCGGGAATACGAAAGAGTGCCTTACGATCTATTGAACCCATTGGCTTTCCGATGTCTTCGTGTCGCATGAGGAACAGGGCACACAGCATAGCGCCAAAAAATCTCCGCCGGCTACATCCTGAGAGATGGGAGAAGAGTGATAGAGTCTTGCGCAAGTCGTCTGACCCTCCGGCAGCATCGTAGAATAATGTTTACCCATCCATACAAATGGTGATGATGAAGTGGGTGGAGGGTACTTGTCAGATTCATCTCGTCGCTCGTCATGAAATCGATTCACAAAAATTAAGTATCAATTATTCAAGAAGTTAACCCAGAGGAGAGCTGGGGAAGACAATCAAGTTGGGCTAAGTGGCAAGTTTCTGAAATAGGGGGATGGTAGGATCCCAATACCGGATGGATAATCCGGTATTCGCATATGGGGAACGCGGGAGAAAACAACGATACCCATCCATACCGATGTCCTCATGTGAACTCCCCGTTATCCAAGAGCCTGAAGTGGCGCTCACATGGGTGTCATTCTGTGTCAGTATCAGGGGACACTCCCGTTGGAAATGCAGTCAGTACTCCATGATTTTACCTGTGTATACTACTAGTAACTCTTTAGATGGAGATCAGGTAGGGCTTTTCCCTTCACATTCAGAGCCTCGTACCTTTGCTCCTAACAATACTTTTGCCTCGGAGCAGCCGGAGCTCCAGATATTTCTTGGAATCACTACTACCATTATAAAGTGATTTTTGGGGATATTATACTGAAGGAGTGTCAGTAGCAAGCTTCCAACGATGTTTTCATCAGGAACTGACTAGCGTTAACTCTTGAGTGTGTAAAAGCGTCTAGGTACTTGAGTACACAGGGAATTTCCGGCAGGCAAGTTCACCACTCTGGCGCTTGCTTTAGCGCTCACTCTTTCCGTCCACTCTCCTCACTCAGAATCAAGACAAGCATTTGGATAAGAAAGGGCCGTGTAGCAAGTCACACTGTTTCCAAATCTCTTGAAGTGAATGTATATATGGCGTAAGGGTGCGTGAATTTGCCGGCTATTCATACCATGCATGGTCCCAAGTTCGAGGGTCTGCGATGTGCGACTTTTCTGTGCAATCTGGCTCTCAGCGGAGATCCTGCGCGATGAACGATGCAATAGCCAGGCCATTCGTTTGGAGAAGTGAAATACCTTCCAAGGTCCATGATAGATCGCTTCATCGACCATAGATTTTAGATTTCCGACGTGCCATGGAAATCTGATATGTAGCCGGTAGGTATGGTAAAGTTTTCAACTTCCATTCTCGGGTTAGATGTATGGTCACAACATTATATTAACCAACAAATTCTGGATATACACTCTGCCGCTATGCTATCCTTTACTGCAGGTGCGGCACCCCTTGTTTCGTTCTTATCCATTCTGGATATTTACCCAGATGCACCAAACTCAGACCAAACTACATCTGTAACTGTACTATGACCATCAAGTATGGGTCTGGGCTCTACAGCACAGTCCTCGTACTAACATCAATGCTCTCAAACTATAACCAGAGGCATGGTAATCCTACGAAGTAAGTCTATATGTTCTTCCAGAAGCCTGAATGCCACCTTTCCAAGTTTTTATTTCAGTTTTCCATTTTAGTTGAGCCCTGGGATGTAGTGTTCCATCAAGAGCCAGGCCTTCCTTGCGTTCGTACTGCTTACCCGATATTATATCACGACGCATCATAATAGAATCTGGAGCTGGCGACTGTATGTCCACTGTTCACCTGAACAGTCCAACCGCATATCCGTGTATGCCGGGGAAGGGAGAAACCCATGTTTTTTGTTCCCAGCACCGCGAGAAGCCCATTCGACCCTTCTCTCATCAACATCATGATGTTGCGTACTATTTCTTGAAGTTCGTTCTGAAAGCCTCACAGAAATAGTGAATATCATTCGATATCATTGAAGGATGATATCTCAACTCAAAAGAGTGCCGTCGCCCTCGCACAACGCACCCGATGTTTTGAATTAATAGGACATTCCTTCGATCCTTCCTGAGCTGGCATCACCTCTCGTTCAATGCATATCAGTAACATTCAGAATGTATTTAAAAACTTCTCTCAAACGCACTAGGTGTAGCTGTTCGGCTACAAGTTCTTGCGCTGATAAGCCTCCGTACTGAAAGAGTCATTTCTCAGCCACAACTACATTGAAGTAAGATTTCGGGAACCAGTGAACCCCAAAACGTGCTAACTTGAACAACTTGCTCAGCCTCGTTTTCTAATAAACTCCTTTGTCCGAGAAGTTCAAACGAAGTATGTTAGAATTTAAATTCCTTCAATATCTTATGCGTGTTGTTCCGTCACTATGAGCTCCTGATGCTTCACGTTCGGTCAAAAAATAGTACGTACTAATGTAACTCCTTCAACCTTCAGAGCTGAAACTCCCGAAACTGTGTATTTTCCAGTAACATGAACATCACCACAAGGCATTTTCAAAATGTTGCCTCACCAGTATTCCCGCCGCCATCGCGATAAAATACGAAAGATACATTACTTAACCCCGCAACAGGCCTCCTCCTCAATACATAAGTAGTTACTCCGGATGAACACGTATTGCCAATGCCTGCAGCTCATTTTAAGTACTCGAACACAACTCGAGTTCAGGATTGATTGATTATTGTGCAGTATTCCCATTTCGAGTAAAGTGATCCGAGCGTCAAGTTCGATACCACAAAATCTATTCCTCGATGAGACTGTGTCGGTTGCCTTACTACCCTGGCGGTTGCATCGCTGTTGAAATTCAAAGCAATTGGGTTCATAGCAGCATTGCGCATTTGCTCGCTACCTTCTCCCGACCTTGTTATGCCTCGGCGGATAGCGAATTCATCGTTTGCGATACTACCACGGCTTTTATGCGGCATCGAAGAGAGTACTTTATTTATGTGGTTAACGTTGTTACTACGTACGCTGAAGAGATATTAAACCCCAGTCACGGCACACCACAGACTAGCCGGGTATAGTAATTGAGAACCCATTGTAGAGTGTCCTCCGAGTGATTGTAGCGATTGTACAGTCCATGTACGGTGCACTATCTCGAAGGTCAAAACAGTCCAGTATGTTAGAAAGCTTACCTACAGACCATCCACCAAAAATCACAACCCGTAGGACATATGTATGTATACATCAAACAAAAATGACAAGAGTGGGACTTGAACCCACGCGGACATTCGCCCATGAGAAAGGAAGTAGCTCGTACTTGAGTCACACGCCTTAACCGCTCGGCCATCTTGCCTCAAAACTACAGCATCAATGCTCACAATCTATGACAATCTTGCGATATATCAGCTGCAATATATGACAATCTCTTCTACATTTACTGTATTTTGTTGTCCGAAAGCTTGGAGATTGCAAAAATAATCATCGACCTTGTAGCCTGGATTCATTCGCTCTTTGAGATTCAAAAAAGCTTAAAAGTTTAACGGTGATTTGTGATGGGTACAAGGTAAATTCCTCGGATTTCCTCCTGCACAGCCGTAAAGAACATTGGTACAGTATGTGCAACCGACAGAAATTGGTTATGTTAAGATACCCGAATTGATGCGCCTTTATACACAAAGTTATCAAAGGAACATTTAACGGGAAACGGTCAAACCTGCTCCGAAGTCATACAGAAGATAGCTCGAGCAGCCTAGGCTGGTTGTCGATTCTTGAACCAGTAGAGAAATCTCAGATGCGTCTGTCTGACCTGAACTGAATATGTTCACCCGTCGTAAGTACTACCATCTTGCAGAAGCTTTGAGGGAATCGATAACTTTGAAATCATCAAGATTCAAAGCGACTAATCACCGACCTTTCCACGTACTCGATATTGGTTTGAAGAGTCGGAGATATTGGAAAAGAGGTTAGTCCATTGTCCTTGTCAGACCACTACCTGACATAGGTAATGATGATTATTTCCCCGCGCGTTACCAATATCTACCGCCTGGACACACGGAACATTGAAAATGGAAACAGAATAGTCTGCTTCTCAGATACAAGGTGGCAATTGGAGTTTATCTAGCATAAGTTATCCAAGTGATAATACAGCGGAATGCTGATAGACAACAGTTTGCGATGAAAAGTGGACCTCGGAAGCATGGGCCTTTCAACCTCCCAAAGGTTTTGATTGTTCGTTGCCGATTGTGACCGAGATATTATGCTTTCAAGCGTTCAATCTGAATTTCGAACTCTCAAATGATTTTAAGGTATCTACCAATGTGTGTTGTTCGAATAGAGCTGTATGAACAGCTTGTGTTGCTTTGACAGAGGAAGATAGTTCCAATATCGAGTACATATTCCCCCTGTCAGTTATCGACACCGTTCCAATACAGTGGCGTTGTTCTATGCCGGATACCTGGACCGGTAGAACGTGGGGTCATTCAAGTAAATACTAGAAACATATTATTTCTTCGATCAGTCTAGTCAAGGAGGTAATCACACTTGCCTACAGGAGAGTTCAGCCCGGCGAGGCGAACATCAGAACAAACTATTCCTTTACCACTCATCAGAGTCCCTTCCCGCTGTCAAGATTTCGTTACAACGTTGGACGGCCGCGACAATGAGCAATGTTTGAGCCGATAGGCCGCATAGCCAAGGTAGGGCTTGAGCTATTGCCGTCTTTCTGCAACGAAGGTATAGATACCTCAGCCTGCGATCGAGGCCCATTTTAGTTTCCAGTTTACACATTAGGTTTGATCTGGGTTCAAAGTTGTACCTGAATGCGAAAGACATACATACCTCGTCGAAGTTCGTAGAATACTGTGAAAAAGAGAACTTCAGGTAACTATTTAATGTGTTTCCCGTATATATCACATGTAGTTGAATCAGGTGTAATAAGGATTAGACTTACCTTATGTGCTAAGCTTCGAGCAATCCAATCCAACGAAAGCTGTACGGCTGAAGTCAATAAGAATTCCTTCCCAGAAAGATCAACGGCGGTAAACTACAGCGTAAGCATGTATGAACTCAGCACGGATATACCTTGCTATCTGTTCCTCTTATGTATTCAATTTTCGACACAATCGAAAATGGTGTTTGAGGGTGCTTAGGATGATTCAATGGCCTTGATAGGGAGCTTGAATTTCGGAGAACATTTATATTCAAGCTCAGCACAGGAAAGAACAGAAGGGCTTACTATATATGCATCCTTCCCGCAAAATTGGATCTCCAGGTTTCTCGGAATTCGCTATCAATTATAAGAGATAACCTGAGAACATCGTTTCAAATGAGTTGAATACATTACAATAAAATCGTTGCAATAATTGTCCACTTTCAGAGGAATAGCTGGGCCTCGACTTAAGTTGAATGTTGAGGTTGTGCAAATAGAAAGCAGCACCGGCCAATACGATCGAATATTCAGTTATTTCGACGCTTCATTAGTGTGAGGCTTGCCAATCGAATTTAGAATTGAATCAATTCATACGGATTTTGGGTCTCTGCCCGAGACTCCCAATTCCTCCAATAAAAAGGCAGAATGCTATTGTTCCGAGCGTGCCGAGTTGTATCTCGGGCAATAGTGGGTCGACAAATCGTTCTGGGTAATGTCGAGCTCAATACGATTATGTCGATCCTCTTGTGTTCGCCGTTTGAGAAGCGAATTCATTCGGAAAGGGGACAGAAGCCATTCGTCTTGGTAGTATGTCATTTTTGAATCATGTAGTACCTGCCAGTGCTCTTTGAAGAGTAATAATATTCACGGATATTTTGTTGTAAAAAATCAACCGTAACAAGGGTGTTGATGTCTTTGATCGCACTAGAACCATGACTTTATGGAGGTTGGAAGCAATCAACTTTATCCGTCCTTAGAAGAGTAGGCCATCCAGTGGAATGATATCTTTTGTTGCAGATACAGTCAGATTTCTGATGCAGCTCGTCGTGAAGGTCGTGACATGGTTTGAACGACCCATTTTGAAAGAATCCTACGTCGGTAAATTTCGCAGTGGAATATTCCAGTGAGCACCATGAGACTTTCAGGTACTACAGTCGATGAAGAAAAAAATAATCAAAATTATAGATAGATAGATGCACAGACACACGTATCACGCAAGGGATTCGCAATTGGGATCTTGATTGGCGTTCTCTGCGTGAAGCAATGTGCGAGAGCGCCCTTTCAGCAATCTTTCAGTTCAGCATCTTGTCCAGCATCCAGTTCATTTGAGGCTATCATTCTACGCAAGAGTTATTGAAGCGCTTCTTACAGATTGTCAGCTAAGTTACACAGCTGCAAGAATGGCGCGCCGGGCGGAGTGAAAAGTGGAAAGTGGAAGTCGGAACCGAAGACGGGAGCCCGTCACGTGGACCCGCCATCAATAACATTTTGACTCCCGTTCACTGCTCAGCTTTTTCTCATGTCCTCGTCGCGATCTCCTACTCACACTCGAACTCGAAGCGGTACACAACTCTCAGAAGAATATATCCAGAACAGCTTTCATAGCTATTTGAAATCTTCCTTAACTCAGGCTAAAGTTGAGAGATTACTCGATGCAGATCTTTTGAGTAGTGCTGAAGGCGATCTCATGATCACTGGTGCGTTTCTTCGATTTCCAACTGATTTGTATTCTATAGTAAGTGCCATACAGGTCCCGCACTATGCCTTTATTTTGCAGCATTGCGCAGTACCACCAATCCGCCTTCAGTCCCTCTGCCTCGTCATAACAAGACCTCCGACCCTACCGAACTATCATCGGAAAACTGTCCCCCTCCGTTTGCACCTTTCCTTCGCGTATGGGCTCAAACTGTCCCTTCTATCCAGGCATTAGCTCCAGAACATCAGCACGATCTTGCCAGAATAATTTGTGATCTTGAGCCGGTAGCCTCGCCTTTGAATTCCAATATACACGGTATTGCAGCTGATCTTCGAGCAGTGGCGATCGAGATAAGCCAAAGGCGCTCATTTCAAGACAGGTATGCAGCAGATCTACAGGCAGCATTGGACTCAGGAAATGAGCCCAGCAGTCCTAGAGCGAAGAAAGCTTCGTTTGTGCCTCCACCTTCGTACGAAATGTCACCGCCTTCCTCCGTACAATCCTCTCCAAATACACAAAATCTTCCACTTCCACCACCGTCACCAACCTACAGCGCTGGTCATCAGGCTGATATCCACGACCTTGCCTCACAATCGTCTTCCCATCTCTTTCCTTACACGCCTAGCGCTGGAAGTGGCTGGCCTTCCCGAAGTTCCTCTCCCTCGATATTAACTCCTGATTCTCCAGCCATCGAGTTCATCCGGGAAACTCTATATGCTGCGCTAGGCGACGTCCTTGAAAGTCATTCCTCCCTTCGTGAGATGTTGAAGCTAGATCCTTCTCGAGCCTACTTTGCTGCGGTTGCGTATGCCATTCTCGATGTGGCTACGACATCTCTGACGCCAGAGGGGGCAATTGTGGGTGTTCTCGGTACTCCCTTAACACTCGATGATTGTCCTCCCCCTTTGCGACGATTCATGCTTGAACTAGCAGCGATAGGTCAGCAGGCGGCAGAAATTCAGGAGGCAGATGATGCCAGAGCCACGAAGTATGCATCTCAAGGGAAATGCATTCCTACTCCGAGGATGGAGAGAGTACAGCAGATGTTGGTAGAAGGTATCGGTTGCTCGACTCAGCATAGCGACGGAGAAGAGGGCAGGAGAAGTGTAGAAGGCAAAGCAGTAGCCTTTGCTAATCGTATCAATGGACTGAGTTTAGCTTTGACTCACTTGAAAACATTCAAAGACAGGCAGGATCAAGTTTTCAAAGTGCTTGCAGGTATTGGGTCCTCATAGTAGTGTTCGTTCGAAACTTTGTATCTGTGCTCCGACACCCTTCTTTGTAGCGTTGAATCATTAGACATTTATCATACTGTATCTAGTGTAAAACGTTGTTCAATATTTTCGAATAATTCCTTGTTGATAGCTATGTAATCTGTAGCTAATCGTGATTAGTTCAGCGCCAAGCTTCATCTGCCCATTTACGGCCCTCTGATCTTTTTTAGTTCTAACAATTCCAATCTTTCCGTTTTTCTCCTGAGTCCTAACATCTACGTAGGCGTATCCCTCGTGCGGATATATTCCTTATACATGGGAAAGTATGTAACGGTCAAGATGGTCAGTGGATGATCTTGTCTACCAACACGTTCAATACCGCCAGGATGTCGATAAACTGGGACGCCGTCGTTCACGCCCAAGTACAGCACTGTCTAAGGCGAAATTAAGGAAGCCGCCGGGGGGCTGTAAGTACATGGCTTGTATCGAAATTGATTCTGTTTCTATGATTTGGAAACCACGTTGTACAGTCTAAGTAGAAGGCTAGATACCAACGGGTAGGTGGCCTGTTGAGAATAATTTCAGATATGTAAGCGAAAAGATCTTGCTGGTGGCTCATATTTGCTAGCGACGGGTGCACTATCCTAGTATCAGCGCTGTATCAGCGTACCTCACGACAAAAGCTAATGCTACTAGGATCTGCTAGGATTAACCCCCTCGAATTTAGTATTTGTAACGTTGTTGACTAAATTCAAAAAATATCGCGGTCTGCATATTGTTTGATCTCCCGCTGATGGATAGTGGGACTTTATATATTATATATTGGTGCCTTCTTGAATGACGGTTAGCGGTCGTAGCTTAATGTTTGATACAATCGCAGCTTTATCGAAGGATGGAGCATTCCATGGCAAAGCTCATTAGCTCAAGTTTAACTCTTCTACGCACTTTGATTATTAACATGGCTATAATATAAAAATCAGTCCTCTTCTCCCAGTCGGATTTGAAGCACTCACTCTTGTTGCCATTTGCCTTGGATAGGATAGGATAGTTAAATTATACTGGCTAGGTCCGATTCCCGAACGACATATGGGATAGCGGCTTCTCCTTGAGCGCTCGCCGCTCACCAATGCTCAGCGATCCTATGTACATATGTTGGAGCAAAAAGAATATCTATCACCACCCTGAACCTCCGGGGCAGTAAAAGTACACCGCTGATACTTACTCAAACTGGGATTTGCGTGTGATGCGCAGCGAAACAATTCTGCTTGTTGGGGTTATTGAAACAGACATCAAATGAGCATTCTATCTCGTCGTCAACGGGTATCTATTCTACATCCGAGACTCGAGTCGACGATATATACTGTGATATACACAAACATGGTACGAAGTACATTAATGGTACTTGGTTGAATCTACTTCTACATTCTGAAAAGCAGCTCAGTAATAATACAAGTTTGATTGACGAGAGCAATAGCAAGAATGACATGTGTCAATAGGTACTGGTCCATTGTGCAAGGAATGAGTGGGGATCGGAGTTGGCAGGCTCCCAAAATGGGACAGTGGCATATCCATATTCGTTCCGATGAACATGTGAAGAGTTATTCAGAGAGTTGGTTGTCTCTCCGTCAGCTGGCAACAGAGTTATGGCAGACGATGTATCAGACATGGGTGACATTGGAAGAGGACTGAGTGCTGCATTTGAATGGTCCAGGTTCTGATATGAGAGGAACGTATCAAACGAATCGAGAGGATGGGATGAAGATAAGATGGCCGAATTTGAGCATAAATCTATTGTATGCTGAATGTGTGAGTACGTTTCGTCCTCCCAGGGAAGAGTGGATAATTGATTCTGCGAAGACTTTGAGTCGCTATAATCTGGGAGGCCTGCGACATCATTTATGAGATCTGATGAGGATGTCATTGCGTTACAAAGGTCTTCGTATGTGAGCATTGTCGATGGTAAACAGTGGGAAGTGCATTCCAAACTTGCACTTTCTATAGCAGACCAGGTCGTGGAATCCAGCATGAACTCTGAGGGAAGTCCTTCGGAAGTCGGATCCGATATCAGAGGAGTATTCAGTTCGAAACTAGGTGGTGTACTGGGTGGCTCTGAAGTATCAGAAGTCGAAGAGCTGGAAGACATGGAAGAAATGCTCGGCGAGTTCGAAATAGACGAAGAGGCACTTTCCGACTCAAAGCGTGGCTTGTAGGATTTCCGCCGCGGTGCTCTTGTGCTAAACCGCGTTATACTGTTATAACTAGGCAAAAATGAGCGGGGACGGGACATTCCGAGGTCAAGTACTCCTACCGATTCTTTGCGGCGAGTCCCGTCCTCCCCGGAAAATAGATCCGCACTATCTTTGTCCAGAGTTTGCCATGCTCTTGGACAGCGTTCAGAAGCAACGCATCCTATATTGGTTTTGATTGGTATCATCAAATCATGATTATCGAAACACTTACTGCTTCAGCAGACCATCGTGTACGGTCTATCATGGGATTCAGAGTGTCTGTCCAACGTTTGGCACATTCTTCGATTCATCAATTCCAATGATTGTTCTGACAATGCAAAATGAGGCTTACGATCACTGTTCCTCGTTTGCACATATGCAGAAACTAAAGACCATCTAAAATCGACGCTGTGAGTGTTCATCATTCACCGATTAAATAGTGAAGCTCTCACTGACCTAGTTCCGTACTTCTCAATGGCTTGAACAAGCTTTTCGTCCTCTTCCGGAGCCCATCCACCCTTGACTACATCGGACGCCATTTTTGCAAACCAGCGTTTACGACAATCTTTGTTCGTTCTACTGGGTACATGCTTAGCAATGGCATGCCATTTTGAAGGGTTGATCGAGCCTGGCTCTTCTACACATGATCAGGTTTAGAGTTAGAGGTTTCGAGATCAAACTCGTTTAAACTCTAGCTCACCCAAGTCAACTGCATCTCGTAAGAGTTGATCCTCTTCTTCTGTCCAAGATCGACGCTCTCTGTACAACATAGCGAAATAATTCACGCTTGGTTTGACGAATAATACTGGGAAATGAAGAGAGAACGCACGATTTCTGCAAGTTTGTTTATATACCAATTACAGGATTTGATTACGTTGCGGATAAATCATATACATAGTGACCGGACAGCAAGGACCAAGGATATGCGCATCCAGTCAAGCACATTCCGCGATGATTCCAGCATGAGAGCTAGCTAAAGGAGTTAGATAGGATCTCCAAGACCATATCCAAAATTAAAATCAGATACACTTACTGGAGATGTGATTCTATGATGGACAGGCCGGCAGAAAATGGCTATTTTGCGGGTAGGCTTCCGCCATGCCTAACTGTTACAATCAATAACTCGACCAAAGACGGGAAGGTGGGGAAATTTTCTCACATCCAAAAGCATCAAACGCATTCCCGAAGCACAAGTCACAGTTAAATTGACGACCTATTGTCACGTAGCATGTTCTCCAAGAATCAGAAGGTAGACGGCCCAGAAGGCAAAGCGTCGCAATCATGATTATCGTCTTTGACTCGAATCAAACTCAATAGGTATCGGAGGAGTTTTGAAGGAAATTGTGTAAATTGCAGGAGTTAATCTGCAGATTGTCCCTTTGTTGTCTGAATGGCGCAAGAATTATGAGTGCGGGACAATGTTCAAGATTGTTCATGGTTATAGAAATGGATGGTGAATGATGAAAATCACTGTGATACATACATGGAGCAAAAAGTATTACATAGGGAGCATCAAAGCAGAGTCCTAAATAGACGGGACATCAGAGGTGGAAAAGTCGTCGAATGTAATACTTGCCCCTTGATAGGCGGAGATGATTCCTCGTTTTGATTACTTTTGATGTGTTCGTGAACTCGGATTCGTAGCCATGTTCACTGAAATGAGGAGATGCAGCGACTTTGATATACATAGGACGTTGGTCGGTCAATCGGAAGCGAAGTTGAATGCATGCTGTGACCGCAGTCGAATCGAATTTGAAATAATCATTGTGAACAATACTCTATACCGAGACGACGTCTGCGGGCGGGCAGGAACATTGATCTCGAGTGTTGAAAATGGTACAGGCTCACGACAAGACCCCCAGAATACTTTGACTCTTGACTTGGAAGTCATTTCGCAACAAAATCAGCCCTGAACTTGCATAATCTGTAATCAACGTCGGAAAACATCGATCCTCTCCGTCCGAGAATTATGACCGGAAAGTCTTCCTATAGAGGTTAATCATTAAGTGAAGGTGGAACCTGGGTGGAACAGCGAAGAACCTTCCCGTTATCGGGGCGGAGAAATAATCGTAGAAAAAGTCCGAAAGTTGAGTAGCAGTCCGTAAGTCGTCCTAATTCAGTGGTCGTCGTTTGAAGATGGAGTGCCTCTCAGACTAAATGGGGAGAAAACTCAAAGATAACGAAGTACTCACTTAGTAACAATGCTCGTGACTTGCTAAGTTGCTTCTGCTGAGCCTAGGTCCTTCAATTAGCTACCGAAGCTGCAGCGAACCCTAAGGTACCGCGAAGGCACCGAAGCCGTTCTGAATAGGTTAAGTCTGGTCGAGCAAGACATCAGTCTTGGAGAGGATTTCCTGACGAGCGTTGAGCACGTCTAAGGGCGTCTAAGCCGTTAAAAGTCTGATGCAGATTTAGTGTCACGTAATAAATGAATTGAATCAGCACTCAAACTTTACACTGCTATGCACCACGAAGAGCTGTGTTGGCCACCGATTATTTCTCACTGTCTGAGCAGGATCAGTACCGATCAAAAACGCGGTAATGCTTGAGAAGTTCAGGACGTTGAGCTCAAATGAACTATGAGCTTCGCCATTGACCAGTCCTTGACGTGCAACCACACTCTCGATCCCAGGGCATCATATTGCAGGATGTGCAGGCGAGGATTGAGCGAGGAATAGAACAGTGTCAAACATTATGTCGGCTGAAGACAACAAGGATGAAAGCAAGGGCGACCTTTCATCTAGTTGCATTGGTAACGTACGAAGGAAATGGCAATAAAGGTATAGTGATGGCAAAGTGGCGATGGAAAGGAGAACACAGTGGATAATGCGACAATAAGTGAGCATGCTCTGACCTTGGACAACGCTGTTCCCTCTTGGTGTCTCTTGGATCATGTATACCCTTCACCGCAAGGAGAATCATCTCTTCAACCCTGCCATTCAAGTTGCCCTGCCTTTTTCTAAACAATGACTATTCCTCACTCGTCGACGGTTCTTCATCGCTCTGTGTACTCACTAACACTCCCAGACAGTCTTTATAAGTCGCTCGAGGGTAGAAGAACAACGAAATCAGAAGGTAGCGAATATGAGGACGAAGATGGAGGTGGTTAGATCATGCCTGATCATGCTGTTATCGAATGTCATTATTATGTAATTTTTGGTTTCTCTCTTTCCAACGACCTTACGCTCAAGGAAACAACAAGCAAACACTGTCGACGGGTTCAACATCTACGCTAGGAGACAACGAGAATGCAGAGTAGATTGATGCATCAGCAGAAGTAATAAAAGACGGTAAGTCTTTGGGTTGTGTTTTTATCCATAGGATAATGACATCGTTTCTGAGGCCTCAGCACCATTTACGCCAGGTTTATGCCTTGCAGAGACGAAGAAGAAGAGATTAGCCGCTCTAACCCTTGAGATGATCCTCAACCTTTCTTCGCTGTATACGTATATCCTGCAGTTGAAAATATGCCCCTCCTGATCCATAGAGCACCCAAAGCTCCGAAAATCTCCCTGTATTCTAAATCGTGTGTCTAGGGAAAATGGGGAAGATGCATAAAAGAAACCACCCAATGTAATTTACCACACTCGCGAACATGGGCCCTTCTATACTTTCGTCGCTTCATCGCAGCTTTCTCTTCTGTTGGCAGGAGGAGGGAGGGGTGCCGGCGTGGTCCCCATCACGAACAACCAGAGCCCACGTACGTCGCACACATTGCGTATGATGTGGTGCCGGAATTTATTAGTGCTTTATATATCGCGATGATCGATTCCTGCTACGAACGTATCTCTTTGGGTTCATATTATTGTCCTAGAGCACCGAAAAACGCTCAAAATCAAACTATCTTTGTTCTCCTCTAACCTGTGGATACTTTACATAGGTTGAACATTCTGCTCATTCAATACTAAGTGGGATTATAGCGACAGTACTCGCCATGAATCAGTTCGTTGCAAGGTTTGGAAATGACCCCTCGATTCAAGGCGCGATCACAACTGATTATATCTACATTCAATGGTCTCCACGTTCATAACTCTTTTGAGTCAGTCCATGTGGTTATCAATGACCTGTCGGTAGGTGTGATTCTGGGGTGTTCGTCTCTTTACTGCTTGACCTGGAGGGTCATTATTCAATGATCGTTTTGGTCGAAGTCGCGCAAAATAGGTATACATTTACTCTTGATGATCAAGTTTTCGACATTCAATGACGTTGATAGCTCACGGCTCTAGTGAGTACAGGGAGATGTTCAGCATAAGTACGGGAAGGAAGGAAGGAAAGAAGGAAAGAAGGAAAGAACCGACACGATCCCATTGAGGAACAACTCGAGTTGGCCCTGCAAGCCGGCGCTCACAATGTTGCAACTCTGCAACTCTCATGGTTATCGCGGCAGGCTGGCCATTAGGTTAGTATTCCGAAAAACATATGTGCCGCTACTGTCAGCGCGTTTGTAGCATCCTTTCTATGATAGTACCCTTGTACAACGTAAGGCTTTTTTTACTTTCGGCCTTTCGCAATGTACTCATTTCTACAGACTGAATTGTCCCTGCCCCAAACCCGTGGATTTCTTGTGGGAGGCTTGGTATCGGTGTTATTGTCTCTAACTGGGTAAGGATTGTGTCCGTACCGCTTACTGTGAACCATCCGTGACTCTGCTATTATTTGTAGGTAGGGTGCAGCGAACATGGCACTAGCAATTCAAATAATGATTCCGGTGCATAGTGATCCTTCTTTTCGGGCATCCAGTTCAATCCAGTTCACTTTTCTTACACCTAAATCGGCTGCTTACATATCAAATCCATTTCTAGTGGTAGTTAATCCAAGGAAGGGTGAGGAGGAGGCCAAGCGCGTTGTGTGTCAACTCTTCGCGCGGACACACGGATCATGAAAATATGGAGATGTACGAAACCTGTACGAAACGGTCAAGGCGGAGGAGCTTGTTCACAAAATCACTAATCTTTGGATGTTTTTCCCCATTATTGCAGACTCTCATTGCGTGTGGTCCAAATATTCACTCAGTTCACGGGATTTAATAGTGCGCAAAGCTGTGTGTTTAGTTATCGACCTCAAATTTCTTGTTTTACAAACCTGGAGTCCTACAAGAAAGTTGTTTCCATGAAAAGGGCACGCTGTCATTCTTCAATTTCCATTATCAATGCTTCTTCTACTTCTTCGCCACCTATACCCCTTCCCTTGAGCGCCCTTTGCCTCCTGCCACACACTTGTAACAAACCTATACAATCATACCCATTCCCTTGAGCTCCCTTTACCTCCTGCCACTCACTACCCCTATTTATTCTCCTAATGTGCCCATACAGTCCTGTTTCCAATAACCGTACGTTTGATACACCGAAGAATACAGCGCGTTCCACGTACCGAGCAAGACTTCCTGTACCTCCTCAATTCATTTTATTCAAGGCTCTGTGGACCTTCAGTTCCAAATTCCAGGTTCAAGGTTCCACCTCAACACCGTACAGCTCTCAGTTGCCGCGTCATACAAGTTGTCGACAGGGAGAGAAGTCCAGGAAATTGGGGAAACCGAGAGAAACATGACCCCATATTTATAGGAACAAACTTTGGAGTAATACTTCGCCCCTCGGGCTTCACGCCGAGATATTCCTGTGCGTATGCGTACCCCAAGGTTTTGGAATGAGTGAGTCAATCACAACCCGGTTCTGTTCGAACGATGGGTACATGGATGCGATGTCAGAACGGATCTTCTCAGACCAGAGTCACAAAGAAAAATTTTCACCTGTAAAGCACGACAATCTACCAAGTCCCCCAACTTGTAGTCTGCGTATTTCATAGTTGAGAAAAAAGATGAGAGCAAACACCTCTTGGCGACGCTTGAGCATCCCAACTTAGCCAAACTTTCGATGCCGTAAATTTTGTTAGTTGTACAATTGTAAGAATCCTAGTAGTACACCCCAAAATTTTTGTTTTCAAGTCGTAGTTCCCTTGACTTGACCGGAAGCCATACTCATTATTCCGGTCGCACTTCGGTCACAGTAAAGTTGGTTAACGCTTTTCACACTCCGAGTCCTTACTTGAGAATCGTTGTAGGCAATATCCTGCCATCGTTGTCAGAAAGTAGTAGACTGCTTGGCAGTTTCACATTCGAAGCCGACCATTTGAAATAATTGATGGCACCATCTTTTTGTGTCGGGCAATAGTCTGCGTACAGCTTTTACCCTTGGGATACTCTAGCGTACTCACAGGCTTTTTATCGGCTTACGATCGAATAGAAGTACTTAGGTATCGACGATATAACTCGCTTTGACGTCCCAATTGGGACAGTGCTTGCGGCATCATTTACTGTTTACGACCCTGGTTCAGCTCCCCTGCCTCCTGACACTCACAATCCACTATCAGATTGAGGTGAATTATTGTATCATTTTACATTAGAAGAATGAAAACAAGGTAGTTTTTTGAGTGGTACATGCAATCGCCCATAAATACGCATCGTATTCTACAACAGAAACCTGAATCCACTGCACTAACCCCCCAAGATTGCCTTACGTCCAAAGAATGTTGATCTTCCTCCATCCTTTGAGAGGAATTTCCTCCGGTTCTGGATTCTGGTTCGCGATTTCAATGTAATGTCGAATGGGCATCTCGTCCAGGGTGACCATCTTTGTCTTCTTGGTGAACTTGTACCCGAAGTACAAGAGAAAGATGAGGGGAATGTTGAAGTAGGAGCTGAAGAAGGTTTCGGTGTCCCACTCGTTATGGATAAATACCGAGAACCCTCCTGTAAGCAAAAGAAGACCGAAGCCCAAAAGTCCCAACCAAGCTGCAAATGGTTGGAACGGTGCGGCCCATGGCAGCTCACTTCGACTGATTCCCTGGCGTTTGCACGCGTAGTAGAAGCGGAGATAGATCAAGCAGATGGTGATCCATGTAACTAGAGCAGCGGCGGAAACAAGGTCTTGGAACCATCCGAAGACGATTGAAGCGGAATCTTGGAGAGTCATGTATCCGAGGGCGATGAAGACACTGACGAAGGATACGCAAATGTAAGGGATACCATAACGATTAGTTCGGAGAAGGAACTTCGGAGCGTGTCCTTCACGGGCGAGACCGTATAGTGTCCTAGAACCACCCTATATAATGCTGTCATCAGGGAGTTGAGCTGCAAAGGTATCAGTATACTCACCAGCATCGAAGAGTTACCTGAGGACCAAGCGCTAGTCAAGACAACGGCGTTCACAATATGAGGGACAACTTTGATTCCGGCCAAGTTGGCGGCGATTACGAAAGGGCTCTCGCTGGCATTTCCAGAGCCATTGAGGAGGAACGGGCTGTTGGAAGGTACGATCATCGTAACGATGAGGATAGAGATAACGTAGAAGAGCAACACTCGGATGAAAATACGTTTTGCGGCCTTGGGGATGTTACGACGAGGACTCTTAGTCTCGGCGGCAGCAGCAGCGATGGATTCGATACCAGAATACGCATAGGCAGCATTGGAGAAGGTCGTCCAAAAACCCAAAAATCCACCGAGTGATCCTTCAATACCGAGAAATTGAACGAAAGGACCCTGAATAGGTGGATAAGATATCAAAACAAAGCTATTCTCGTGATATAAATAGTACGAACAGGGTTTCTCCAATACTGAAATCCAAGCCGAGATTGGCCAGGCGCACCTCCCAAATCGATGCAAAGACCCTTGAATCAAGGAAAAGATTAATTATATAGAAAATGTCACTGTGACCGAGAAGAAGCTCACCATTATGATCAAACCAACAATGAGCATAATCTTGAGCATGGAGAAACTGAACTCCAGCTCTCCGTATACCCTGATAAAGCACATATTGGTACCAATGATGAGCAAACCCATGATTGTGATCCAGACTCCGTTGGATACAGATGTCGTCCAAAAAGAAATCAACACAGCCGCGGCGGTGACTTCGGCGGGGATGGAGACGCAGGATGAGTACACAGTGTTCCAACCGATAGCGAAGGATAAAGCCGGATCGAAGAAATATTCAGCATGCCGGACATAGGAACCGGTCAGAGGAACGAGGGATGAAAGCTCGGCGATAGATAAAACGACACCCGATACGAGGATACCGGTGAATAGATATCCGAGAAGTGCACCGACAGGCCCCGCAGCTGCAAGAGCTCGACCTGAACTTAAAAAGAGACCCTAGAGGAGGGAAATTTAACTTGATCAATCGCGCACAACATCAATAAAGACGGCAACAAACCGTTCCGATAGTTCCAGCGAGAGCAATCATTTGAATGTGTCTTTGCTGGAGACCACGCCTGAGATATTGTCAGCACTAAAATTGAGGGACCCTAAAAAACTCACTTCAACTCTCTCTCCTCCTCGAAGACTTGCTCATCGTCACCAATGGGTCCAGTAGAGCCAGACTCGGCATCGAGCTTTCCATCGTAGATGTTCTTGTCCTTTTCATCGTTGAACGACATAGCTGAGTCGTCTAGTTATGAAGGGGGGATGGATGGAGGAAGGTGATGGAGCGAGGGAAAGAGAAGCTAAAGAAGTTACGTCGTCTCATGTGCATATATATATGTGGATAAGAAGCTGTCAATTCCTGAAGAAGTTGAATTAACCCAGCTCGCGTTATTGAATTAGCACTGAAGATAAGCCTATAGAAGGCTGAGCATCCGCGTGTACCATTTGATGCGATTTTGATGCGACCTTCCACTCACGAAGAGCATCCACTGGGGATTTTTAGAGGATTACGGCGCTCTTAGAGGCCTTATCGCAAGGATAAGGCCCATATAATACTGAAAAGAACCAAAAACGCTGGTGGTGTCCTCCTATAGCCATGAGAGGCTCTGTTTCCGCTTGAATACCTTCGGGAGGAGCTTTTGATGACCAGATAACGGCACAACCAGTATGCATTCAAACGGTACCTGAAGTTGAAGGTTGCTTGAAGGTTTGACCGATTGCAGTGTAGGTGCGTCTATCAGAGCTTGAATTGGGCCTATTGACAAGCGTCACTTCTGGAACAGTGATAGCGTACAAAGTTCGTCAGACTCAGAGGTACAACATATGTATACTGAGGTTAATTGAGATTCGGAGTCGTATCGTGGTGGGAGGTATCGACCGGTATAATCATCCCATAAACACTACTCTTCACCAAGTGTCGCGAGAATCCGACCTGCTTACGGACCTCCCCTGTCGAAATCGACATCTGAGCACCATAGGGTCTGGGACTTACATCGGAAGAATGGAGCTCGTGTGAGTCCATGTCTTCAATGTTGATTGTGTAAACGTCGAAGGTGTAGCCGCTCAGTATAGAAGTCCCAGACAGACAGCGGGCTTCGAGGCCGACGATCGCGAAGATGAACTGATAAGTAGATACGCAGGATAGGTCTTGATAGTACACGATAGCGGAAGCATCCTTGTCGCAGATAGATAGATATTAGCGCAGAGCGTTTCATTCCCCTAAGCCCTCCTAAGCCTTCATGGTCCGTGTCCTTCAACCGGTGCTTGGAGAACCTGAACACCCAATAAGCGAAGGATGAAAAGACATTCCACAGGACGGATGCTACGTTGCCACTCACTCGCAAATTGGTAAGGATAATAAAGCTCATGCTACACTTATACGCTGTTTTCGCCAATGGGTCGTTTTGATAAGTAGCCGATGATAGTCCCACACAGTGTACGATAGGGTATGCCTTCCAATCACATACTTCGAGGATGATCAAATTGCTGGGTACGATAGGCGGGCTTATCGACTGTCCTTCCGCTGGTCTGAGGTGGATTTCCGTGTATATTCAGGATGATCGATCTAAGGATTGGAAGTTGAACGATAGCGCTACAATATTAGCATGTACAGTACATGCGCAGCGAATCTTGGCATATGGAACCCGCTCTCTCGACTTGACACTATTTGCCTCCTGCGCTCCGATGATAGCGGTACAGTGAGGAGAGGATGAAAGACGACATAGGGTTAGATTCCGTGCAACTCGTAGCGCTCGCGTATGGACGGCCGACAGTGTACATTGCAGACGATTGTAGAGCTTTGTTGTAGTCTGTCGACCAGTGCTATAAATCGCGCTTTAGAATTGACAGTAGCTTGACAGTACCGAGTGGTACCGCCACTCATGTAAAGGTGTAAAGAAGATTCGCAGAGTGATTTAGATGTACCCCACAGAATGACATTGACAGAACGCGCTCCGTCTAGTCCACCCCGGTGAACAAATGGCTTACGAAGATTGCTTGTGCCATCGGCGTAGGAGTTCTTGACCGAGATGTCAGTCCGAAATTGGCGTAGTGTGGGGAGATGCAGCATGCTCAAGCACATGTATTTGATCGTTCCAGACCTGTTGCATGGGCATGGATTGGCTCTAGGAACGATTGATGAACACCGAGGTTCGAGGACGCATGACTGTTGGTTCAAAAGGATTGTCTCGACAACAGCTATTTAGTGGCATATGGATGTCCACTGAGCGCTGAAGCTTAAGCAAATAGCATACAATTCAGTGGAGTTCCGAACACCAAACTGCGAAAGCATATGGATTACATAGGTCCTGGGCAGCAGATTTGCGTTAGCTCGAAGTCACTAACTAAGGCCTTGACATGAGAAAACGTACCTGTCGTCTTAAGAAATGCTCATGTAGACCATACCGCAGCTTTGGATTTCTATTGGTAAATACGCATCGGAGAACCCGTCACAGTAAACGTATATATAGAGGTCAAGTTCGACTGGTCGACCAGGTTTCGAGGAGTGTCCTACCAAAACTCCCGACCGTATATTCTGACATCAGTATCAGAATCGAACCAGCCACGGATAACATATGTCGTGTGCTCACCACTATGTATTTCCAGACACTCCCAGTTCCCGGCACGTGTGGTCCATCCGATTTAGTATCGTCGGCGGTCGAGGCTGATACCATGGTGATACATAATCCCCACAATGGCATCGAGGGAAGCCAGGGCGAGTCTCTTTGCAAAAAGCAGTGGAGATGGGAGCCAGAGACTGCAATTGAGCTCCTCTTGCGGTGACGAAGAAAAACCCCTCAAGAACGACCAGTCGGTGGTATTACGGCGGCGATTGCAGGAAATTTGTTGCCCGATCGAAGAACAAAAGACAGTCCCGCCTGCATCAATGGCGGCTCGACATTGACTGGGAGCGACAGTTACACAGTGTTACTCAAGCTCCCGCAGCCGAGCAATGGATCAGAGAAACCGACGATTAGATGAGCGGCATCTAAAGGAGGACAAGCAAGCTGGTCCTGGTACGGCGAAGGACAGCAACATCGCAATTCAAGAAGTTGGGGTGTCTGCAACCGGACGACGAATCAATGTGTTGGCAAGGAGGCTAGAGGGGATACGCATATGCTTTGAGAGCTGGTCGAAAAGGATATCTCGAGCCTAGCGGCTACTGGAGATGAGATACATCGCGGTGAGTGAACAGGAGTGATATTGATTTTCCGACAGGTGACGCATAAACGAGGCGTATCAACTTTGACCGGTGGTTAGAGGCTTTAGATATTCAATTCTTGTAAGGGTGATAACTCGAGAGTCTGCGTCGAAGGTTGACCGATGAAATTGAGCCCTAAGATGGTGTTCATTTGGTGTTCGACAAAGATACATGATGAACGAAGGAATATACAAAGAACCATTACAACAGTTACATCGATAGAGGAAAATTTCACCTGTACATGGTTCAGCTTTCAATTCCATATTCATCTCGAGATTTTAGTATTCCTTGTGGCGGTTTGAGAAAAAAGAATGATGCGGGCCGAACACATGAAACCTAAGACTTAGATAGATCAGCATGACGTTTTGTCCCCAGACTCCCAGCTACGCTCAAAAAATGAATTATGTATTCCCGCTCAGTGCTGAAATTACAGGTGCGCAGAAACGGTCGCTTCCAATGGTTGTTGAGACTCATTCCAAGAAGTCGTGCAACTTTGTCCGCGGGTATCAATCAATTCTGGTCAAATAACAGCCTACCCGTTTTTACCCACCAGTAGTCCTCAGCCACCTATTCGTTCTGCCATTATCTAGTCAACTAACTTCCGACGTAGCTGGATCAATCAAAGCATCGTATCTTCGCTCAAGGTTCTGCAAAGCTCTGCTACCTGGTTTTGATTTGGTGACTATGTGGATGAGACACTACTCGCCCCAATTGGTATTAGTCGCAGGATCTTGCAAAATTTCTTAACTGTTCCAATATTGGAAGCTTGAAGGACGTTCAATACAGGAACGTGGATTCAAAAGATCTCTTTACGCTTTTGGCCCGTCCAGTTCCGTGCGAAGCAAAGCGCTACGGCCAGCAAGCAGTTCAGGGTACAATTGACAATTATTCCTCCTAATTCTGGTGAGTGACATACGCCCCGGCTGGTGTTCAACTGACTTATATGTACAAAGTTTTTCTAGAAGGAAATGGTGAAATCTAATAAATGCCCTCTTGACATGTATGTGTATGGTCTATGAATTTTATCTCAGACTAGTCTAACTCCATATCATTCTTTGTGCAACGTACTACCTAGTCTCAAATCCCCGCCAATGACCGTTCGCAGTTTGCTTTAACGCGTTCTATCTTTTGTTACGGCGGTTCCTTCTTTGTCAACTCCGTGCCTTCAAAATAATCGCTTGCAGTCCGCTCGATAGGGATATACGGCATCGAGAGTGATTTATGTCAAGCTTCAAAATATGCTAGCTTGTATTGATATCCCCTGTATACATATCATCTAAGTTCGGTCGACCTATGGAATGAATATTTTAGAATATTGTTTGCAACTACTACTTCACTCTCGTAAGGTCGTTGCCAGTCTGTCTTATTGGTGCAATGCCTGTATCCTTTCATCGGTGAATCCTGGGCGAATCGGACCTATGCTGGTTTGTCTCAACATCTATGCCTCAGTTTTTCCGTCACGAACGCATCATCCTGAGCGTGAATGTTCAAAGTTCGAAGCGTTCATAGTATCGCTCCAAAACTACACCACTACATACCGTGAACTTCAGATATGAGATGAATATATTGCAATGCTATCGTCGTTTCCTGAACAAAACCTCGCCCGTGCTGCTGGGATCCATGCTTGGACCATGCCATTCATATGGCGGTATGACTCCCTCGGTCTCCAACTTAACATCGTAAGACATCAAGATGTGCGCAATGAGGCCTTTGATTTCATACACAGCAAAAAACCGTCCTGGGCTGGAACAATATCAGTGCGAAGCCAACCTTGAACTACCTGAACATACCAGGCATGTCGTCCATTACCGAAGGTGATATAATCCGGACCTGGGGAAATAGTTTGATGCTTAATGCTTTCACCTTCGCGGTTTCTCATGTTGTAGAATCGGAAGGCATCGAACGTGTAGGGATTGTCATACTGAGCCTGATGGAGAATGTGAATGGGGATGAACACGATTGAATGTAACGGGATTTGCACCTCGTCATGATGATGCATGTATGCCGCAACACCAATGGTTGTCCCAGCTGGGACAGTCGTCCCATCCGAAAATGTGAAATCTGTGAGGACTTTGCGATTATTGACGACTGCGGGTGAAGATAACAGCATTCAGCTTTATGAATATCATAAAACGTGTCCAAGTATACGAACTTCCACCGCCACCAGAAAATCGCAAGGTCTCTTTTAGGAAACTATCCAGTTTACGCATTTTTCCGACACCTTCTTTTGTCCAACCCGATTCTTCCACTATGGCTTCCACTTCTTCTCGAAGAGGCACAACCAGTTCTGGGTGTGCCGCGAGTTGGTATAGTGCGTTACAGAAAGCCTGTTGAAGTCTTGAGCCAATTATCACACATTTAGTGAAAAACTCGTACGGTGCTCTTTATAGTATATTAGTAAAGGAAAACGACACGAGAATGAATTACGCACTGTGGTATGAATGGCAGCAACTTCGATGGCGAGAATCCGGGTAATCAGGTCAGAAACTTCACGCTGTTCAGCCTTTGCCTCGTCTAGCAGCCACGATATCAAATCATTCTGTGGCAGTCCAAGATTTCCCCCTTGATCTTCCAAAACTTACAAATCCTAAAATGCTTACGGGTTTACTAGGCCAGTCCTTAGTTCCATATTCGTCTTCCCTTGCTAGGCGCTCTTCGATTATAGGAGCTAGATGCTTGGTGGCCCGTTTCATACTAGATGGCATTCGCGTTAATAAATGCCCAGCGATTCTGCAAAAGTTGAGTGAGTATAATCCTTACTCAAGAATTTTTGGACTTAGTACGGTTTCAGGAACGAAGGAAATAGGTTGATGATCATTGCAGAGATGAACACTTCGACCGCGAAGTTTGTATTCAAGTCCTAGCGTATAAAGGATTAACAACTATTCGAAGTGCTTATTGGGAAAATGTACCAACCAACCAATCAGAATCACGACCTAAACGAAACGTTAGCGCACGATATATTTGAGAAGCATATTACGAACAAAGAGGGAGACCAACAAAGAAGCGGTTAGCAGTACGGCCCACGATTTGGAAGGACGTTTTGTAGGCCGGAACCTTGACCCAGTCTACAAAGATGACAGCGTGGTACAGAGCACACAGACTGCGACGTACCATCTTTTGCAGGAATGAGATCCGCAAAAGCGGAAACCGTCTCATCCCTCACTTCAGCAAATCGAGTTGCAATATTACGGGTCATAGGTGTACGGACAATCGCGACATGGTATGGATGAAGAACAACTTCTTTACTCAATGTATATTCCACTTGCAATGTCTAAGTCCACACGAGCATTGAGTCAAGGGGAAGGTATAACACAACCAATGGACGTACTTCAGCTGCTGCCTCAATCATACTCAGTTGATCATCTGTAGCCTTCATTAAATCTTCAACCATCATGCGCCCAGGAGCTATTATCGCCCAACGATCTACGAGAGCGACCTTGAAGATGCGATTTGGGTACTAGATATACCATTTGTCATCACTGAAAATTTGATTAGGCAACAAATAGACATGCCTTTTCATATCCTTCCTGTAGGATATCTTTGGCATTAGTGAAGAACCGGTATGTTCCGACGAATCCAGATAAAAAGCCAGTGGGGCCAACTGTCGGGATCACATTCAGCTGGAGGCATCATGAATATGTTTGAGGAATAGTGGATGAGCAGGGATGAAAGACGGGAATACCATTGCCACTCGGGACCGCCAACGGACATATTTGGGCAGAAGAATCCAGAAGGCCCAAGCGAGGCCCACAACCAGAAAGCCTAGTGAGTAAGGAGAGCTTACAGAGGAGCTCATGGCGAAAGACAAGAAACTAACCATCTTCTCACGAACTTCTGAATTTGATATATTAGCCGAAAACATGGAGCCAGCGGCTCAACTTGACCTGAATTTTTATCATGGTGAGTGGATATAGGTGCTTACAGGTGACGACGAAGGGGCATATTCTGCTACGGGAGACCGTTGATGATAAGGAACGCAAATTTATGAAAATGAATATGATTAACAAGAATTCACCCTGGTAGGGCTCACCACTTGTGGCACAGTCCTAGGCACAAGTACTTGCCAATGAATGTAGACGGAGAACGATACGCAAAGGTCTAAACAACGGTGATGTAAGATGATGATATAGAATGACTGTTGCATAGAGCTGGTCGTTATTACGAACTCGGATGGGGAATAGCCATATGCGAGAACGTGAGGAGCGACGAGACTACTCGGATGGTGACCAGGATTTATGAAGAGCCATCTATAATCAGAAGTTGTCGGTTGTTGCGGAACGGCATTGAGAATTTAATTAGCACCAACCTCGAGTACTTCCTCTACAACTACTATGCTCCCACTACAAGCCACTCATCTCGATGTTCCATACCATTGGCATAGACATCTCCTATTATGACTGGCTGAGCGACGAATACAGAGAGATGATCCTGGCTGTCCTAGTGCGATAAGTAGAACGTTGTATTGCTATATGATGAAGGATGCGATAGTGAACGAGAAAAAGAAGAAAAGTGTGAAGGGTCGGGATGTGAAGGAGTACGAGGAGTCCAAGGAGAGCGGGTCGAAAGTATCATTTATGAAGAAGAGATACGATTTGCAACATGTCCATTCTGTTGTGTCGGCGGTTTCTTCTAATTTACTCGGCTCACTCAGTACATCTGCCAATCTTTGCACTGGATTCGTCTACTGCTGCCGACGTTCCTGAGTTGTCGGGGATGGGGTATAAGTCAACAAACGACAATGGAGGTTTTGCCAGAAAGGGCTGTTTGTCGTCGCTATCGTCTGAGTAATCGGGATGAACAACCCGTCCGGTTGAGGATGACTGGTTTCATAGGGAGTTCGATGACATTGCTGTCTTTGTGTTATGAAAACTGAGAAGAGGGGCCATTACCAAGACGTAAAGATGTCGTTGGACACATTGAAAGGCAAGGTTTTCACTACAAATATATATATCCTTCTAACAACCAAATCTCTCGCTCAATTGAAGGCAATCGGGTGAGAACTGAGGGATATTTTTGCGATGGAAGATTGACCTCGATGATTTTGGGAAATCCGGCGAATTTCGGCAAAAATCCACGCGCGCCTTCGGTACTGCATTTAGCTGTAAGGCATTGCAAGTGTGCTCTGGCTTAGATTTTGCAAGCATTGAATCCAGATTACGACACGCACATCTCTAGGTACTGCCGGTTTCTTTCTTTACTTCGCCAACTTACACATTGCCATTTACAGACTTCTGAGATTATGTCCTTGCGCAAGCGCTCCTCCAGCGACGATGAAGGCAAGGCACCAAGAAAACGGCCAAATATTTTGCTCACAAGCTCGGATAACGTTGTCGAAGAGAAAAATGGTAGTGATAATAGGAAATTGGATCGCTCTGAGTCTCCTCTTCTTGCTCCTCTGCTCACTGAGTTGCACCAAATATTTGTTCCAGGAGCTCTCCCGCCTAGGTTAACAGCTTTTGCGAGTGTTGATCTATCTATCTTGGCGGAGGTGCTCAGACCATGCTCAGGGTGCACCACTCTCACCAATTGCAACGCAGGGACGGGTACCTGCCACGACTGCTACACCAAGAAGGAAGTTTGTTCAGTGCCTACATTCCTACGGTACTGGATCTATTCCGATCGCACTGGACTTACGTTGGAGCAAACTTTGTTCATGATTACGAACTATGGCGACCACAAAACGAAGAAAAGCTTCTGCCTCGACAATACCGTGTTTAGCAACCATCTCCGTCAAGTCGTCGAGAAAAGCCTTTTACCCCCGCCCCTCAATACCGGTACTTCCGTTTTGGGCGATTCTCCGACGGATTTGGAAAACCGGGTGAAAGCTCTCAACCTTCGCCGCTCCCCTGTAGTACGAACCGTGCACGCACTCGAAAATCATCGACCGCGTGAACTCCTCTCGAGGGACTTGTTAACGCATTCTCAACCAAGTTCTTCCATGGCGCAGTCTCACTGGTTATACTCCAGGAGTCATACCGAGCTCATTTCTCCTATTCATGAAACACCAGTTCGAGTTATTCAGGCCGCCGGTCACAGACATTTTCAGTTCGTGACTTCCACTTCATCGTCACCTTCGGAGAATCCATCTTCTACTCAGTGTACCCTTTGTTCCCATTCTGATGCTAGATTTTCGGGGCCTCCCTATCTATATTACACCTCTATTACCGGTCTATCTATATTACACCTCTATTACCGGTCTAGTTCCTTTGCACCCATACTGGCCTACGTAGTGAGTAGAACACTCTACACAGTGAGGACAACACTCTACACAGTGAGTAGAATACTCTACACAGTGAGCAGAACACTCTACACAGTGAGCTCACCACCACTGTTGCCCACAGTGACCTCCACACTGTGCTCAATGCTGCTGCTCATTGCCATACACAGTGAGCTCAACACTGTATACAGTGTCCTCAATGTTGTCTCAGACAGTGACCTCAATGCTGTCCACAACAAGCTCTATGCTGTCCTACACAGTGAGCTCAGCACTGTATACAATGAGCTGGTCATTGTCTTGGACAGTGAGCTAGTCATTGTCCTCCACAGTGAGCTCAACACTGTATGCAATGAGCTGGTCATCATCTCCCACAGTGAACTCAACATTGTCAGACACAGTGAGCTTGTTGTTGCTGTTGTAGACAGTGAGCTCGTCGTCATCGTCGTAGACAGTGAGCTCGACGTCGTCATAGACAGTGAGCTCAATACTGTCCACTGTCAGCCCAGATGTCCATTTTACGTATAGAATTGAAAGTGATTCTATACGTAAACGTCTCTGAGATTTTACGTACAGAATTTTGAAAATTCCATATGTAAAATTTTTGGCTTGTTCGATTCTTGACCAAGTTTTTCCCACGGGGGTCCAAAAAAGCGCACTTTTATAGCCTTCTGACATAGCTTTCCACATCAACTCAAGTGCTCAGCACTGTACACAGGGAGCTCAACACTGTATACAGATAGCTGAACACTGTACACAGGGAGCTCAGCACTGTACACAGGGAGCTCAACACACTGCTCTACACAGTGGGCCATGGAAAGCTCCTTTCCCATTGCTGTGCTATACATCACTGTGTATAGCAAGCTCAACACTATGTACATTGAGAGACATCTTTACATTAGTGGAGAATATACTCCGATTCTGGTCACGCAAATGTCACCATTGAACTCGCACTACAAAATAACCTAGGGTCACCCACCAGTATCATTCAAATCGGAGCACTGGTTGATGCATAATTCACATCCGACTTGTTGTTTTGTTTTGTTTATAGCACCGTGAGGATTCCGCCGCATAAGGTCGCAGTTACATCATCAGACTCGCCTCTCTCCGCTCTTCATTTTCAATTTTTCAAGTTTTCCATGTAGCGTGGCAACTAATTTCCGTATTCTTTCCCCCCTCCGAGATTTCCTCAGAGGCGCTTTTTTTGCCTGCTTTTTATTTCCTCTTTGAGTAACTCCTGCGCTTTTCTACCATACTTGGCAATTCCTGCTGGCAGAGTTTTCTACCATACTGGGCAATTCTGTCTTGTACTGCCTATAGAGGGCGCAGTTTTTCACCTTTTAAGGAAATTCTTGAAGATTTATAATGCTGAGACCCGCCTCTTCATTTTCATTTTTTTCTTCATTGGAGTGTAGCGTGGGAACCTGGCACAGCCACATCGCGCCAAAGCCAAAACTCGGACTGCAGACTTGATCAAGCAGTGCATTCAGCAGTGTACTTTTCCCAGTCCTCATTGCTATCACTTTTGATCAAGCAGTGCATTCAGCAGTGTACTTTTCCCAGTCCTCATTGCTGTCACTTTTGATCAAGCAGTGCATTCAGCAGTGTACTTTTCCCAGTCCTCATTGCTATCACTTCTGATCAAGCAGTGCATTCAGCAGTGTACTTTTCCCAGTCCTCATTGCTATCACTTGATATGATGATGAAACATTGATGGAATGTATTTTCTCACCCCTGCCAGACTATAAAAGCAAATACGTATCAACTTGTGCTTCTCTTTCCACTACCACTACCTTCCTATTCAAGTAACTAGCTGCTTAGGTAAGCAACACATGCTCTTTTTACGTATAGAATCTCTGTTCATTCTGTACGTAGAATGTCTCGCTCCATGCAATCCGATGTTGCCTTTATCAAAGTCAAGTACCTCAATGGTCGCAAGACTATTCATCGCAACGCTGATGGTGCTTTCGAGTGTTTGTGTGATGCAAAGCCCAATGGTCACATTTATAGACTTTCCAAGTCTCTTCTTGAACACGCCAAAACAGTCAATGCCACAGACATTGATGCAGTGGCTCCAGCAGTCAACAATGTCTTGTCAATGCAAGTAAACACAGGTATGTCATCTCTGATATTTTACGTACAGAATTGGTGGTGATTCCGTACGTAAAAATTCTGCTGTAGCCAATAATTTGTATTCTGTCAATGCCAAGGACTTTACATCGTTCGGAGAGAGTGAAGACCAGGTTTGGACAAGGGAAATGGTAGAAGAGCTTATCAGTCAACCCATCCAGTATGGTAACCAGGTATGTCTGTTTTGCAGTCATTCATTCGATTAATCAAACATGGTCTCAGATCCAATCAAACCCGTACATGGACAACTTTGGTCTAGTTTACCATACAGTTCTTCAGGGGGTCTTGTGTACCCATCACCACATTCTTCTCAAGTCTTCCTATATCCATCGCCACATCCAGGATGAGCATGCTCGCATGCAATACTCACCTACAGAGGCAAAAAAAGTCATTCAAAACCAGTGGCATGTACCGGCTGCACCACTTGTTATGCAGCCTGGCTTTTATCCTCAAGTGGAAGGATTGCCTATCCTGCTAGGCTATGAATGTGGTGATTGCAACCACGTCACAGCCTCTGTAAAGACCATCGAACGCCATGTCCGCACCACGCACAATGTTCCATTCGATATCAATGCGATCCACTATGTTCCTATTCAACGCTTTCACAAACATGCCATTCCATTCCCTATCATACCTGCCTACCCACCTACATCATCTACCATCGATGAGATTGTCAATAATGCAACTGCTCAAGTCGAGGCTGTCTTTGAAACACCTATCGGTGAATTCTCTGCCAACAATCGTCTTGTGAGTCCTTGGTTGCTTGCAACTAAATGGCCGCAACTGGTACAAGGCCGGGACTTGGAAGCACTGTCAAACACTTGTCAGAAGCCTGTAGCAGATGACACTGTATTGCAGAAAGCTTGTGTTGTGATGCAGGGACTTATGGACTTGGCAATAAAGAGTATTCCACAATTGCCAGAGTTGGTTTTGCAGCGATTAAATACTCCGGACCGAGCTAAAACGCAAGTGTTCCTCATCTCTGTATTTTTTACGTACAGAATTTGACCCAATTCTATACGCAGAGGAATCTCAAATACGCCTTTCCACCGACATCAGGGGGGTGATACTACTATGCGGACCTATATTGATGAAGTCAACCGCTTGCTATGTATGCTACTGCGCGATACTCGGAATATCTTTACATACGACCTTCCTCTCAGTGTGGCACAAGCTTTGCAGGCATTGCAGGATGGGTTGGTGGATGATCAGATCTCTGATGTCGACCTGATGTACCTTGTTCATCAACTGCTCATGTCACTCTGGACTCAACACTGGCCACAAGATGTCGAAACCAAGTTTACGACAGATCCAACCATGCTTTTCTTGGCATTCCGCATGATCATTCCCTCGGGTGGGTTTCGTGAACCCAACCAAACTTCACCTGTGGTTGCTCGCATTACTTATTGCCAGCGCTTGGTATTTGTACTCGAGTTGCTCAAGAACCATGATCAGCCCAACTATAATGCGAGTACTGAATGTGATCGCCTGGAACAGTACTTTACCGAAAAGAACGACTATACATTCAACTCGCTTCGCAGTCTTCAACATCTTGCTTCAACCCTTGCTATCAAGCAAAAGAGCTTGCCTCGAGTTGTTTGGCTGGATCGGAAGCAATGGGACCATATGCTTTACCTTGGTGATTCCATCAAATTCGCAGATCTCTGTCAGGTATTCCATAATATCGAGCAGGAGCTTGTTCCTCTGTGGGAAGATAAAATCATGCTGGGTACCAAGCTATCTATTGATATTCACAGTGCTCTTCTTTGCGACGACTTGACACGTAAACTGCCTCCTTATTCCATGTTCAAAGATCCTCGGAACACTTGCCTCCATACCCGTTCTGCTCTCTTCCGAGCTATTGTTTCCACCCCAGCTCTTCGCGATCAGTTCATAGTGGGAATTGACATGGCAAATAACACTCCTCGGTGGAACAAGGTGGCCCTTCGATCATGGTTATACCAGTACAGCCGTTTCAATCTTTTGCTCATGCTGCGCTGGGAGATGTTGGCTGGCTCTCCTACTCGAGGAACTGAAATGGTGTCAATGCTTGCACAAAATACTCAGACTCGTCCTCGCAATCTCTATGCCATTGGTCCCAACATTGCTTTGGTTGGACAGTACCACAAGTCTGGTGCTATCAGTGGGTCTGATAAGCTTCTCCCACGGGCAGGCGATGCCTTTACCGCAGACCTTACAATCCAAAACTTGGCCTTGGCACGTCCCTTTGCACAGTTCATTGCCACTGTATGTTATCCTAATGATCCCAAAGTCATCGAGGCATATCGCGACTTGCTGTTCCCCAACATGGGTCGAGCATTTGATAGCGACGAGTTGTCTGATGCTATGGCCAAATATTCGCATCAGGTTCTGAATGTCCGTCTTGGTCTCAATGCATTCCGACATGTTTCGATTGCCTTCCGACGCATGCTAGTTGACCAAGCTACCGAGCAAGAGACAGACAATGAGATTATACGCCATGTAGAGGCAGAACAAGCAGGCCACTCGGAACATGTGGAGCAGACTATTTATGCTGTCAGCTTGGACTCTATTGGTGAATACTCGGATCAAATGCTGGGTGTCTTCTGTGATGCCAGTGCGCGCTGGCAGATAAAGTGTGGAATCGTTCCCACTGGTGTATCCCGGTCCTATCGAGAAGCCACTGCAGCTTGTTATCAAGATTTGCGCTCAAAGGGATTGTTCGCAGTGGACGAGTTTACCACTGCTGAATCCCGTACCCGCGCCCTTCTGGCTGATGTCAAGGACTTTATCAAAAGCTCCATGACTGCTGCTACAGAGGACATTGCCACTTCCCTCCTGAACAAGTTACAGCCACTGTTACTGCAGCAACAATCAAGTTCAACATCAGCTACAGTTGTTACCACACCTCCTCGGCCCCCCCCTTTGGTCACTACATTCTCACCTACTCGTCAACCAACTAAGCGGAGGGGCACCGTGTCTATTGTTGTTGATTCAAGCCCAACAAAAAAGGGCCGGGAATTTAGCCCAGAACTATCAGACTTGGAAGAAGAGCAAATTCGCTCTTTCACCAAGCCCTCTACTCTACAATGCAAGTTTATGACATGTATTTGTGATTTTCAATTCCACTAATAAATAGTCTGGATTGTAGTTTCAACCTCATCCTTACCTCTGGTACCTCCCCCATCTTCATCCCCAGGCCCTGCAGATGTTTTTACGTATGGAAACAGCGCAAAAACCATACGTAAATCTCCTCTGTTGCTCGAGCCAGGTGAGTTTTTAAATTTTACGTATAGAATTGGACCTAATTCTGTACGTAAAAAAAAAAAAAAAAGTTTTACAACCTGCAATCCCATACTTTACAAGTATTACACAGGATGTGGAGCAAAAAGCCCTCTACTTGCTGCAGCAGGTGCTCA